AAACTTTAATATTTTAAAACATCAGACAAAACTAGAAAAATAAAGCACGATAAAGTACGATATAAATACTAAAAAACAAGCCCTAATTACAACAATCTAAAGGACTTTAACAATGATCGAATAATTTAAATAAAAGAAATTGTTAAATAAGATATAAAATACTTTTATATCTTATTTAAATCTCATTCATTATTTTCTTATAAATTTAACGCTTGTAACACTGTAGCTGATACGAATATAAATATAAAAGACAGGGGAGTTAATATATAAAAACTAATTTGAACTTTTTGATAGTAACTTCAAAACAAACAAAAAAAAAAACTTTAATAACATATTTAAAAAAAATATACTTTATAATTTTTTTTCTTATTAAATAATTAAATTTTAATTTAGAACATTTAAATTTTTAAATAAATAATTCCATAAACTTTCTCCCTAAATAAAAAACTATTTTAATGTTTTATACAATGTGCAAATAGCTTAAGCATAGTTTTTCATTGCTTGATTTTTAAATTACTGCGAAAGTTTTTCGGACATTTAGTAATAATAATTTTTGTCTTGCAACTTTTTTTTTATAATCCTCAAATTACATATTATTAATTATTGTTTAAAAAAACAATAACTAATAATATGTAAATTTTGACTGTTATTATTTTTGCAGTAGTAAATTTATTGTTTTTCTTTTTCATTAATTTTTGCAATACGATAAACTGACAAATTCATTAAAACAGCGTTTACAGTTTTTTTAAAAACTAATAATTTAATGACCACAGATATTTCTGGATATTGCAATTCGTGATTACTTAACTCGAGCCCTGATATATATATATATATATATATATATATATATATATATATATATATATATATATATATATATATATATATATATATATATATATATATATATATATATATATATATATTAAAATCTCTTTGGACAGAGAAAAATATAAAAAAAAAAAAAAATTTAAATTTTCAACTTTAAATTTCAAAATTTAAATTTTCAACAAAAAAAAAAAAAAAAAATCACTACACCCTAATTAGGGGTGTTCAAAATGATCAAGGGTCAAAATGCCCCAAATAGTACCCAAGTAACAAGGCTTTGAGCACAAGGTTAATTTTAATATTTTTAATTTTTCTTTTTTTAATGTGCTCATAATAGTCTATACTTTTTTTTTTAATTAATCTGTATCCGTAATTTTTCTTAATTGTTCTTTAAATTGAAAACAATTTCATGAAAATATTTAAAAAATATTTTTTTTAACGCACAGTTTAACAACAACAAAAAAAAAATCTCCTTGTTTTTTGGTTTTATTAATTATTAATGTTTCCTGTTTAAAAGCTGCAAATAGAAAAAAATGACAATTGTAAATTAACATAAATGTATATTGCGAAATTCTGCAGTAAACATTTTAGTTTTATCTCATATTTTTAAATTAGAGAAAGTGATTTCTTTTAAAATAGTTTTTAAAATTATAATGGAAAATTTAATAGAAAACAATGGTGAGTCACAAAAAATGCTTTCAAGTGCAAAAAAAGTAGGAATTTATTAAAAAGTGGGAATGATAAACAAAATATAAAAACAAAAAAACACAAACATTTTATTATTGAGAAAGTGAAACCAGCAATATCAAGTAATGAATTTGTTTTGAGATTTTTTTTTAATTTTTAAATATTTAGTTTAGGACTATATTTAAGATTATAGTTTAATAAGATTTCAGGTTGTACAACAGGTCAGATCAACTTAACTTGAACCTTTGTGTTATTAACTTTAGTTGATCAACTGCCGGCTGGAACAGATATTTTACAACACATGGCTTTTAATCAGTCGATGCTTTCTTAAACATCAAAAAAGTCAATTATACTTGCATGCTCTGTAAAAAAAAACAAAAAAAAACTATGAAAGGTGTGTTGAACTGCATTTTAAGTGTATTCTAAACAAGATAAAGGGTCCCTGGCTTAAAGGTGGATTCCCTCTTCAATCATAATAACTTGATGCAAAAGCTGAATAAGTTGAACAAGAAATATTTGAAGTTGAAAAAAAACCTGCACAGGTCACCTTTAGAGTTAAAAAAGCAACAAGACTTTAGAAAGGAGCTGGGGAAAATCTTTTTGGGCAGGAAAAGCTGACTTACAAAACTGGATAAAGAAGGACAAAAATAGATCAGACCTAGATAAGAAAGAGGACCTAGATTTTTTATACAACCAAGAACACAGCAGAAAGTTATTTCTAGGGCCTGAAGACAAGAAATATAGCGAGAAGGTAATCCATGTTAAAACCATCATCATCTCATAGCTCACTCTTCACTAATTTTTATTGGTTTTTATTTTGGGTTCATTAATTTTTATTTTATAATGCATGTTGTTTAGATTTTGGAGAATACAAGAAAGAGAAATCCATCTATAAAAAATGCTGCTAAATCAGTCGAAGTAAGTTAAGATTTAGAATTTAGTACAGACACCAGCAATGATTCATCTTTTGATTCGAATTTTGACCCAGAATATTGGCGTTCTATGGAGTCAAGTAGTCTAATAAAAGCTGAGATTCCAAAAGATATTATTTTTGGTAATGTTGCTTTAATTGCCACAATTACTGATATATCTCCTAAGGATTTAACAAAACTTACTGCTGCAATCCTTGATAGTTGATTTTACAAATGCTAAAGAAGATGTTGAACTTAGCATCCAAGCTTTTCCCTACCCATGCATTTTATATTTTGACAGATAGACACTTAATGAAATTAATAATGGAAAAAAATTAAAGCATGATCGACTTGCTGTTCTGGCAATTATTAATAATGAGTCCCATCTTCTTGGAGTTACACCATTAACCTCTTCATCTGTAGAAGAATTTCATTAAAATTCGAAAAACAGGAACAGTTCATATATTTAAAAATGTAAATTCTTTCAACTCAAATTGATTTTATTCAAAAAAATAGAGAACATATTAAGGTAATAACTGAATTTATAGCTTGCTTTTATGCAAAGTGGTACCTGCAATCAGATGATACAATATAAGCTCCTTTTATGGATGTAACTGCTATTCATCAAATGTATCAGTATAAAGCAGTATGTGCAGAACTATTTGCTGTTGATGCTGTGTTGAATTCATTATTTAAACACACATGGTATCTTGACTCAACTCTGATTCCCTAAGCCTTGCTGGATGACAATGTTGTACTGGAAGAAAATGAAAAAATTGCTGCTGAAATATTATCAGTTCCAAAATCTAAGTCATACTTTAAAACTAAAACAAGCAAAAAAAAGATATACAAAAATTGTTGACAATTGAACTAAGCACTCATCAGAAAATTCCTAGCCTGGCTTCTTATGGTTTTTTATTCTTATGGTTTATTATTAATATTTGATATGATTGGAATTAAAGATCAACGAATTGATCACACACGCAATCATCATACAAATCATTTTTAAACTTTGCAAAAAGTATTGTTTGTGTAAATGACCACACTTAGAGAGCAATCGGAATGATGCAACAATTTGTTCACCGCTACAGAGATGAGGAAGAAAAGCAAAATAGGCTTATTGCTGTGGACTAATTTTGTTCATTTTTAGGACATCAGGCAGTGAATCTTTATAAAGCAAGAAAAAAAAGAAAAAAAAAGTTTTAAACAAGAAAAGAATTGCAAAAGGACTACTTATCATACGCTCCAAAACACAGAAGATAGCTTAAACTTTAGAATTTATATTTAAAACATATTTTAAAAGATACAAGTTTCTTATCATTAATCATGTTCAATTAATCAACTTATAAAAAAATGTTTTTCCATAAAATAAAATTCATTATAATTTATATGAAAATAAATTAAAAAAATAAATAAAATAAAAACCAAACAATGTGAATATAAACAATTAAAATAATCACAAACAGAGAATTATTGCACATTTTTTTTGTTTAATTAGCTTATTTTTGTTTTTTTCCTTCATAAAATAGTTGGGCATTTTTGGGGGTGTTATGACCCTTGAGCACAAAGTAAATCTCTTTTCTTTTTTTTTTTAATCTTATTTTTTTAATATTTGCTCCAAATTTAGCTTGTTGTGTATTCGCGTTTTCAAAATTTTATTTTTTTGAACGCCCCTAACCCTAATATACAACCCTTAAAAAAATATTGTATTATATTAAAAGAATTATATAAGGATAAGTTTAAATGCTATAAACAGATGTTTGAACTTAATTTAATATCACAAAACTATATTTAGCATTATATTGTTTTTATTTTTTAAAAAATAATTAGAAATGTTTTTTTAATTAAATGATAAGCTTAAGAAATCATGGAAATAAGACTTGTTTGAAAACTATACAGATTTCTTGTTTAAATAAATATTCATATCTTCAAAGATTTTTTATTATTATTCTTTGAAAGATAATATTGATGTTATGTGTATAACTTAATATAAACATACTAAATATTACAATTACAAAAAAAAAATTCAACTTCTATCCTACTTTTAAATAATCTATTAAGAGTTAAATTATCTGTACCTGTAAAAGAAATAAAATGTAATTTACTGGTTTTTTATTCTTTTTTTATCTTTTTACTAGATAAGTTGTTTTTCTTCAATTCTTTTTAAGTTTAGCACGAAAAGTTTTAGTTGCATTGATGCGATAATTTTCATATCAAAAATGACAGATTAGACAACTTCAATCGGACAACAGTTTTAACATTAGCATATCCTTTAGCAAACTATAATGTTGAAATTGTTAATGATTATCTTAGATGAATTTTGTTTTGTTTAAACTATAATTAAAACTTATATATTTATTATATAACTATATTTAAAAACTATATTTATTATTGATTTCCGCTTCCTGTTTTGGTTCCTGTTCCAGTTTTTAGTTGATTTTTGGTTCTGGTTATAAATAATTAAAATATAATTTGAGTTCCGGTTATGAATAATAAAATTATTTTTTGATATGGTTTTGGGAAAATATTGTTTTCGGTCGATCATAAGGCATTCATGCAAAACATAAAGCTTACCTCTCTTCTGAAATCATCGACATTTTTGAAATTCTCTAAGATCGTACTTAGTTCGATGTCCACCTCAAATTTAACTTTTCCTTTGTAGTATTTAAGAAAAGCCCAAAATTTTTCTAAGCCATACAAGTTACCTGAAATGATGTAACAATATGAAAAAAAAAGCAGAACTAATACCGATATAATGTAATTATTAATTCAAAATGCACTTTTTAAAATTTAAAGTTTAATGAAAACAAACCCATTTGATAATCTTTCATAACTTCTTCCTGGAAATCTTTATATAAATCAGGTTTAAATCTATGTTCTAGACCGTAACTATAGTACCGAAACAAACATTCTATTCCATATCTAAAACAAAATTGTCAATTTTATGCACAACAACGAATATTTATTATATAAAAGTTTATTAATATTTTATTTAAAACTAGTTAAACACCTGTGACCAGCAGCCGCATCTTCGACAGCATATTGTTTAAATTCAGAATACATTCTCCTAAAAACAAACTTTATTGTGAAGCTTTTTTTTAAAAAATAAAATTATTTGTCTTCATAGAAGCTTGAAGTCTTAACATAAAGTTTCTTAGAAATTATTGAATTATTTGAGAGAATTGAATTATTGAGAGAGGAGTAGAAAATACAGTTTTTAGAAATTATTGAGTATAAATATAGAGAGAGGAGCCGAAAGCACAGTTTAAAGGCCAATATAATTTTTCTGCTTTGCAAACGATCTTGCAAAGCAGATAATATTTAATTAAAGTAGTTATATGGGAAAAACTTAGCGATTTCCATTAAAAAAATTAATTTTTATTTTATTAGCTAACTTTTTATAAAATTTAACTGGCTTTTCAACCATATATAACATGATATGATTTTAATAACAAAAAATAGTTTAAAAAATAATTTTATTGATTATGAGTTACAAAATTTACTTAGTTATGCCCATAGCAACCAAACTTTTTATTGGTATATTTAAAAATTATATTGGTATATCTAAAAATTAGATATTGGTATATCTAAAAATTAAATTTTAAATAGTTGTTTTTATTTTTGGGTTTGTATAATTACTAAACTACTTGAAAACCAAAGTTGTAAACCTGATGTTGTTAGTTAAAATGAGTGTATGAAACTTGTTTTTAAACTTGGAGGATTTCTCAATTGTATTTTTTTGTCTGACTGCGAACAGCAAATCATTCATATCTTTTTAACCAGATATAATTAACTTTAAAATTTCAAGGATTTTTCTTTATAGATAGAACTAGTAAGGTATTGTATTATGTGTATTGTATTATATGTGTGTATTATAAGGTATTGTATTGTATATATATGTATATTCTAGTAAGGTATTTACTAGAATATACACAGAAAAAACATGTGTAAACAAGATATTAAATAGTTTTTAATTTAAAAATACCTTTGAGTTTTACATTTTATGCTAATTAAGCTGTGACAAGAACCTTTTTCATATCACACTGTAGTTAAGCCATTCTCCTTCTTGTGATATTAGATGACACTTTCCAATAACCCTCCCCAAGGCAGTAACATTTAAATGGCCTCTTAAAGTTAAGGTTAATGGCTCTTGAAATTTATTCAAGCTCTGAATGTTCAAATTTAATACCTTATGATAAAAATATAAAAAGATGTTCTTAATTGGTTTGAGCATCTGTGTTGTATAACTTAGAGTTCTTGTCTTCCTTGAAGCTATCTTTTTAAAAAACTTATTTATCTAGTAGACAGATGTGTCCTCACAAAAGATCTAATATAAGTCTTAAATCTATATATACTGCATCTAATTTTAATTATTTGTTTATTTCATTTTATTTATTACATTATATTAAATTCATACTTTTGTAGCTGTTTTTTTAGCAATGTTACTAAAAGAGCCTCTTTACTTAACATATCAAGTTTCCTACTTTACAGACAACTTATGGCTCCCCTAATAATAGAATTAGTATTAATGTTGCAGGTGATTTTACCTAAAACAAAAATTTTTAATTGTTTTCTAATGCTATTTTATGTAATAATAGTTCACTTTGACATCGCTTAGAGAGTTTCAGGAAAAGATATTGAAACTACAAATTACTGAAATTCTGAACACAATCTATGTTAAATAAATTCTAAACACAATCTATGTTAAATAAATTCTGAACACAATCTATGTTGAATAAATTCTGAACACAATCTATGTTAAATAAATTCTGAACACAATCTATGTTAAATAAATCCTGAACACAATCTATGTTAAATAAATTCTGAACACAATCTATGTTAAATAAATTCTGAACACAATCTATGTTAAATAAATTCTGAACACAATCTATGTTAAATAAATTCTGAACACAATCTATGTTAACTCTTGAAAACTCTAAATACTTTGCTAGTATTATCTTTTTATTAGAGTCTGCATTTTATTTTAATAAAAAGTTTAGCTGTTATTTTAAAAATATAAGTAGTGAAGCCATTATTTAATAGTAACATTAGTAACATCAGTCAGGCTGTTATTAATGCTTCTTTATGAATCAAAAAAAAAAAAAAAAAAAAAATTACTTATTGAAATGAGATCTCAAAAAGAATGACCAAAATCGAAACAATGTATTCATTTCTTGTGATTGACCAAATCCAACTTTCTTTCTTTCTAAATAAAAACAACAACACAGAAGCGTTATCATATATAAACCAACAACAACAAAAAAAAACAAGTAATGAGTAAGATAATACCTTTGAGACATTTAGTATAATACTTGTAATACACATGCTGAACAAAATTATTTTCTTTTAACAACGAATGTGAAGGGTGTTCAAAATGAGGTATGGATCCAGAACCAATACTTCCAGTGCTTCCAAAACTACTTGATAGGGTGTTCAAGTGTGGAGATGCACCACAACCTGCATCACTACTATTACTATTACTAAATAAAATAAAAATATATATATATATATTTTTTAATTTACTTTAATCCTGCTATTCCAGGAATATAATAGCATCCTGTAAATGTAAAAAGCATGCTTTAAATGTAAACATGTTCAGTCTAAAACAGCCAAATATAAAACTGCACACTGTTTTTTATTGAGATAAAAATATTAAAAAAAGATAATTACTGCCGACTCCTTATTTTTTTTGCTTTTGGGCTAAATAGCCATCCAACATGCTGTTCAACTGTAGGATTGCTACTGTATTTTGACTTGTGAAGACGAGGTGGCTAAAAAATAAATAAATAAAAAATCCTTAAATATTTAAAGTAAAAGTACTTGTATTTATAACTTCTATGAACATCTTGATTTTTGATTTGATTGATATTTTTTAACTATAATTACAAGAAAAATACCTTTGATCCCTGGTCTTCTTTTTCAATAGCTGGATAAAATCGTGGAAAATTTTTTTTATTAGATACTCTTTTAGTTCTAAGCTCGTGTATTTTTCTGTAAGATTTATTCCCTCTAAAATCACTAACAGTCGATGGCAAAGATGATGAAAGTGGTGTTGTGTTGGCTCTTGGCCTGGGCTTAAATTCAGGAGCATCAACATGTAAAGAGGACAAAGATAAAATATTAGTTGAAATTTCTCTTATTTTTAAGCTAGCAGAAACTTTTCTGTCAGAAGAATCATCCATTACAGATGAGCTAAATGTCAACGAATGAGCTTTTTTAATGTTAGGAGCTTCCTGATAATCATCAATATCAGAATCATATGCTCGTTGTTTAAGTTGCTTGAAATCTTTTGCACTAATCAAACCAACATTTCCAGTGGAGCTTGATAGTTCAACCTAAAATATAAAAAAGCAATTGTCTCACAAATTGAATTTGAATTCTTTATAAAATATAATAAATTACAAATGCTCTCACATTGCCTAAAATGATGACAAAATGTGTAAAAGTACCTTTCTATTTATATAACTAAGATCATTATCTTCTTCAAGCAGGTCCTGTTCGTAATAGTAAAGCCCATCACTAATCATATGAGCAAGTTCTTGCGAAATTTTTGCTCTGTTAGTAAAGTTGCCGGTTCGATCATATTTTTTAGGAGGAGGCGGAGTTTGTGTTACAATAACTATTTTTCCAATCTCATAATCATCAAGTTCATCATCAGAATCATCAGACCTAAAAAATTTTAATCTTTATAAATTTTTTAAAATTTTCATTCCTTCTAGATTTATATTTTGATATCTTTTATATTGACCTTTCTTTATAATGAGGTCTGCAACATAAAACGAAACTAGGTTATTCATATTATTTACGATATAAAGTAGTTATTTAGTACCATATAACATTTATTAAATATTATATTTATTACTTTTAACTCTATTAACTTTAGGTAACTCTAACTCCACACACACACACAAAAAAAAACTTTTTATTAATTCTGAATAACATAATTAAAACAAAATCGACATAACTAATGCTTTATTTAAATTCCTAATAAAATTATAAAATGCAGATTTTGTATTTGTCAATATTTTGCTGACCTTATTTTTCTTAATTTTGTGGGCTGCATATAGATATAACATACTTTGTTAGGACAATTTAAGCATGGCTGTTTTAAAAATATGTTTTGAAAATTTGATTTTTAAAAAAAATGCTTTAAAAAACTTATCTAGACCTAAACCTAATAAAAAATAAAAATAAGAACTAAAACTAAAACACAAAAACTAAACATAAACATTTATTTATCTTTATTTATTGGTTTATTAAATTTATTTATAAAGAATAAAAATAAAATCTAAAATACAAAAACACTAAGATTATTTTAATCAAGTTTTTGAATGCGTTTAAAAAAAAAATCTTTTAATTTTTTATATATGCAAATATTATTACAATACTATGAGAAACCCTTATAAATAAAACAACAACTTTGATTGTATGAATGATTTAAACGAGTTTAAAAAATACGCACATGAATGAGTTTAAAAAATTAAGTTTAAAAAAAAGAGCTTTAAAAATACACACATTTATTAAATTATTACTGTATTTTTTTTACTTTTACTTTTTTTTTATTTTAAAGTTAGCAAGCTTCCATACAAATTGAGGAGAGTAAATACTTAGGCAATTAAAAATAATTTAACTTAAATCATTCTATAAAAATTTTTTTTTTTTTTAACCTTACATCAAGGATGCAAGCAACTACTATCAAAGTTGGAAGTTACTGGAATAAGATGAAGATGAAGTTTATAAAAGATAAAGATGAAGTTTATAAAGCAAAATAATGATTAACAAACAACTTAAAGGATTGCAAATTATATGAAACAGTAAAACAAAACTGATAACAAACAGCAAAAACCAAACTGATGCTTGGATTTTGCAACACTACTACAATGTTACAATAGCTGAAGATAGACTGCAAGAGCATGTCCAACTGTTAACAATTAATTTTTGCAACTGGTTTAAAAAAGAAAGGACATGATTCAAAGATCCACTCCAGATATGGCAACAGTATTCCATACAAGGACGAATTTGAAATTTATAAAGATAAATAATAAAATCTAGAGTAAGAAAGCCAACAAGCGAGACAAAAGAATGAACAACGAGATGCAACTTTAACAAGCATAATAACGAGATGCAACTTTAGCAGATGCTAGATTTGATATCTAGTTTTCAAGAATTTAAGAGTCAATTGTTTCTTTAAAGTAGTTGTTTATAAAATTGATTTAAAATAATTTTTAACTAAATTTTTTAACTTTTAAAGTGTATTAAATTTATTGATTCTTTATTAAGTTAATTAAAAAGACTATCATTGTCTAAACAAGTTTTCTTTTATAATATCAAAATGAATTTATTTTTTGAAAAATATCATTTACTATAAAAAATGCATACTTATATAATTTATGTATCATAAACAATTAATAAATTATAATCATCTTTAATTAATAGTTGAAACAAAAGTCATCGTCAGTAATTTGCTACTTTGTTTATATATATTTTCCAAATATAAAAATATTTGTAAAGATGAAAACTTAGATTTTATATATTTTTAACACATAATTAAAAATCTATTTTATTTAGCGCAATTTTTGATAGATAAAAAGCTGTGGTCCAAGTACCAAAACAATACTTTGTTTTGGCAATCTTTACTTTTTAATTGTAAACATATTTATCAAAATTAGTTTGCTAATAAAAAAATTATAAATTGATAGGTATCAATTATTTGCATTTATTTCTTTCAACAGAAAGTTTGTTTTTAAGTATATAATAAATATATATAAACATTGATCCTCCGTATTAAGAAAAATTTAATTTGTTAATATTGGCATCAGGTTGGCAAAGAAATTTGATACTAAGGTTTTACCATAAAATATAGAAACAAGGACGGCAATTTTTTGATGACTTAACACATTCAAGGTCAGCATTGCTGAATCCTGACCGAATTCTGAGGGCTGATAAATATATAGAGTATAAAAATTAAAAATGTCATTTTAAGTGTTTGAGTAATTAAAAAAAAAATTTCAATGCAAGGTACAAAACGTACCATAAAAAATATTTTTTAAATGAATCATAATTATTTAGCTACCAATAAAATGAAACAAAGTAAAAAAATAATACTTTGCCAGTACGGAGAGGGAGCAGCTATTATAAAGCTATAAAGGATAAAGAAATTTTAAATGGAAATAATGAAAATAATCATAAATTTTATGTTTAAAAAATTTGGTTTAAAAATGAATAAATATTATTTTGAATCGATATTTATGTTTGAATAATTTAAAAAAAGTTTTCAGTGAAAGGTACAAAACGTACCATAAAAATTTTTTTTTAAATGAATCATAATTATTTAGCTACCAATGAAATGAAACAAAGTAAAGAAATAATACTTTGCCAGTACGGAGAGGGAGCAGCTATTATAAAACTATAAAAGATAAAGACATTTTAAATGGAAATAATGTAAACAATCATAAAATTTATGTTTAAAAATTTTGGTTTAAAAATGAACAAATATTATTTTGAATCAATATTTATGTTTGAATAATTTAAAAAAAGTTTTTAGTGCAAGGTACAAAACGTACCATAAAAAATATTTTTTAAATGGATCATAATTATTTAGCTACCAATGAAATGAAACAAAGTAAAGAAATAATACTTTGCCAGTACGGAGAGGTAGCAGCTATTATAAAACTATAAAAGATAAAGACATTTTAAATGGAAATAATGTAAACAATCATAAAATTTATGTTTAAAAAATTTGGTTTAAAAATGAATAAATATTATTTTGAATCAATATTTATGTTTGAATAACTTAAAAAAAGTTTTCAGTGCAAGGTACAAAACGTACCATAAAAAATATTTTTTAAATGGATCATAATTATTTAGCTACCAATGAAATGAAACAAAGTAAAGAAATAATACTTTGCCAGTACGGAGAAGTAGCAGCTATTATAAAACTATAAAAGATAAAGACATTTTAAATGGAAATAATGTAAACAATCATAAAATTTATGTTTAAAAAATTTGGTTTAAAAATGAATAAATATTATTTTGAATCAATATTTATGTTTGAATAACTTAAAAAAAGTTTTCAGTGCAAGGTACAAAACGTACCATAAAAAATATTTTTTAAATGGATCATAATTATTTAGCTACCAATGAAATGAAACAAAGTAAAGAAATAATACTTTGCCAGTACGGAGAGGTAGCAGCTATTATAAAACTATAAAAGATAAAGACATTTTAAATGGAAATAATGTAAACAATCATAAAATTTATGTTTAAAAAATTTGGTTTAAAAATGAATAAATATTATTTTGAATCAATATTTATGTTTGAATAATTTAAAAAAAGTTTTCAGTGAAAGGTACAAAACGTACCATAAAAATTTTTTTTTAAATGAATCACAATTATTTAGCTACCAATGAAATGAAACAAAGTAAAGAAATAATACTTTGCCAGTACGGAGAGGGAGCAGCTATTATAAAACTATAAAAGATAAAGACATTTTAAATGGAAATAATGTAAACAATCATAAAATTTATGTTTAAAAAATTTGGTTTAAAAATGAACAAATATTATTTTGAATCAATAATGTTTGAATAATTTAAAAAAAGTTTTTAGTGCAAGGTACAAAACGTACCATAAAAAATATTTTTTAAATGGATCATAATTATTTAGCTACCAATGAAATGAAACAAAATAAAGAAATAATACTTTGCCAGTACGGAGAGGTAGCAGCTATTATAAAACTATAAAAGATAAAGACATTTTAAATGGAAATAATGTAAACAATCATAAAATTTATGTTTAAAAAATTTGGTTTAAAAATGAATAAATATTATTTTGAATCAATATTTATGTTTGAATAATTTAAAAAAAGTTTTCAGTGAAAGGTACAAAACGTACCATAAAAATTTTTTTTTAAATGAATCATAATTATTTAGCTACCAATGAAATGAAACAAAGTAAAGAAATAATACTTTGCCAGTACGGAGAGGTAGCAGCTATTATAAAACTATAAAGGATAAAAACAATTTAAATGGAAATAATGGAAATAATGTAAATAATCATAAAATTTATGTTTAAAAAATTTGTTTTAAAAATGAATAAATATTATTTTGAATCAATATTTATGTTTGAAGTAAAAGGTACAAAACATACCATAAAAATATTTTTTAAATGGATCATAATTATTTAGCTACCAATGAAATGAAACAAAGTAAAGAAATAATACTTTGCCAGTACGGAGAGGAAGCAACTATTATAAAACTATAAAGGATAAAGACATTTTAAATTGAAATAATGTAAATAATCATAAAACTTATAAAAATTTGTTTTAAATGAATAAATATTATTTTGAAGTTAAAGAATCAATTTATATGTTTAAATAATTTAAAAAAAGGTTTTCAGTGAAGGGTACAAAACGTACCATAAAAAATATTTCTTAAATGAATCATTATTTAGCTTTTAATGAAATGAAACAAAGTAAGAAAATAATACTTTGATAGTACGGAGAGGTAGCAGATATATATATATAACTGCTAAAGATACAACTTCAAATTCCAGGAGCAACAAAATTAGGATTACTTTTTAGAAATTGTAGCTTAAATTTGTGGTTAATTATTATTGAATTTATCTCACCATAATAAAATGATCAGATAGTGGACAGTTATTTAAAAGCTATCTTACCAATATAAGTCTTGATTTTCATGAAAAAAATAAATCAAAGATTATTTCATAGTATGATGCAAAAATACAGCTTAAAATTAAATTGTGATGTAGGTTATTTTCAGATGATCAAAAACTTATTTTCTTTATAAAATAAAGAAAAGCTTAGAAAGCAAAAAAGTTTGTTGTCAGGTGACTACATTAATATAATTTATAAATTATTGACAATTTTTTTAAATTGAAATTTGCAAATGCAAAAATTTTAGTTAAAAGTATCTACCAATCATCTGCATATGATTTTTTTTCAGCTGGAACAGTTTGCTTTTTACTGCTTGGCACTTCTTCATCAAATTTGAAATCGAGTTCTTCACGGGAATCAACAAAATCTGATTCTTCTTTCTGAAATAACAACATAATAGATTTATTAAAACCTTAAGTCAAAAGCACAGACAAACACATGTTTACACTATTACTCAAAATAAATAAATATAATAAAATATTATTAAAAGATTTAAACACTTAAATACCAAATATTTATGGTTATTATATATTTAATCAAAGGACAAATTAAACTATTGCAAATTCCAATGGGCTAAAGTGTTTAAGCGAAAATAAATCATTTAAAGCAATTGTGAGTACTGATTTTATATATTGCTTTATAAAAGTTTTTATGAAAAAAGTTTCACAATGATTTATGCTGATGTTAACACAAAATAACCTAGAACAAATAATAACTATAACTATTTGTCCGTCTGATCAAGCACAGCAAATTTTAAAATTAGTGTAAACATCAATAAGGAATCAATATTTAAAAAATTAAAGTTGAAAAAGTCATTTTTTTAATATGATTAAATAGTTTAAAGTAAATCTATCAATTAAAGGTAAAAAAAAATTTATAAAATTTTTTTTAAAAATATTCAACTACTAATGAAAACAATGAATAAAAAAATTACTTTGCCAGTATGAAGAGGTAGCAATAATTTATATGACAGTTAAAGATAATACATCAAATCCCAAGGTAACAAAACAGGAAAAAATTTTTGGTATTGAAATTCTAATGCTGAACATGAATCCTGGAATTTTAGTAGGTAATAGTTATGATTTTTATAACTTGTTATTTTTCCAAAAAGAATATTTAAAAAATTTTAGAATATCAACAAAATAGAATATTGCAATTATGGTAATAAAGACATTACATACTAATGTGTAGTTAGCTTTGCCAAAAACATTTCTATAATTATAAATTTTGTTTATAGAAAAGATAATACAGTAAACCAAAGACAATCAAAAAGAGACATAATAGCACTAAATAAAATCAGATAAAAATTCTAAAAAATGCTGTAAAAAATTTAAAACCGAAATACTTTTATTAAAAAATATACAATGACCAAAGTTATTAAATAATAAAGAATGCTTAACCTAAAATAAATTCACTTTTAAATAAAACTACAGTTCCCTAAAAAAGCCTTTTTTGTAACTTTAAAATTTTAAAAATAAAAAATAAAAAAATTGAAAAAAAAGTTGATACTTTGTTTAAACAAAAAAATTATTAAAAAAGGATTTAATCTTCAGAATCTCAAAGGATTTAATCTTCAGAAGTTAAATTTTAAATATTTTTATTTTATTATACTTCATTAAGTAAAAATTACATGTAACAAACACAGCAATAAGGTTAAAAACTGCTTGTGGATCAAAGTGTGAACAGATAAACGTATATATATATATATATATATATATATATATATATATATATATATATATATATATATATATATATGCGGTAGAGGTGTAGTGGTAAAAAGCTCGCTTCATAAGCAAGAGGTTCAGAGTTTGATCACCACCACATCCCTGGTAGTACCATGCTCAACTTGTTTCTCTGCGCAGCAGTGTTTTGGAGTTATAGAGTTGAAAGAGGGTTATAACCTAATTAGCCTCCTCATCTGTAATAGCCTTTTCAGCTTTTTTGGAGGTGAATAACAATATATATATATATATATATATATATATATATATATATATATATATATATATATATATATATATATATATATATATATATATATATATATATATATATATATATATATATATATATATATATATATATATATATATATATATATATATATATATATATATATATATATATATATATATATATAATCTATTTACTAAAATGACAATCAAAAAACTAATGCAAACATCAAAAATATAAATAAAAAATCTTAGAAAAAATGATTCTAGCTAAGATTGAGTAATGTTTGAAGGACTAACAACGCTGGTTTTGAGAGAAAGTAAAATTCTTGAGGATCTTAGAAAACTGTGTTGTTTGAGTTAAAAAAACACAGAAGAAGAATCAGCGCAAAATTTACAACGTAAAATAAAACCAGATATTTATATATGTTAAGTTACTTTTTAATCGATAAAAACATTAAATATATTTTTATTTAAATATTTCTTGTTTTTGTACAAAAACTTTGTACAAATAATGGGAATCCTTGGACTTTTGATAATAAAACTTTTTAAAAGACTTACAGTAATAAAAAAAAAGTTATTAAAAAACAAACTTTTACCAATAATGGAAAAAATAATTTAAAGTTGAAAAGATCATTTTTAATGTTAAAACAATTTAAATAAGTTTGAAATTTTTCAAGTTTTAAATTTAAAGGTTTTCCATTAAAGGTACAAAACATACCATAAAAACTTGCACTTTGTTTATTTTATGTTTAACTTTTTTTTAAATCTCGCACTTTGTTTATTTTATGCTTAACTTTTTTTTATATCTCGCACTTTGTTTATTTTATGCTCAACTTTTTTTTAAATTGCACTTTGTATTTATCAAAAATATAGTAATAGTACAGAGAGGTAGCAAACATTTTAAAACTATTAACATTTTAAAACATTAAATAATTTAAACCATTTATATTTAAAATCATGTTTACAAATAAACAGACATTATTTAGAAAATAATTTAAAAAATTTGAAGCTAAAAGTCACAATGTTTTAGTAATTTAAGAAAAAAAAAATTATTTTTCATTTATATTTAAAATCATGTTTACAAATAAACTTACATAATTTAGGAAATGATTTAAAAAATTTGAAGCTTAAAAGTCGCAATGTTTTAGTAATTTAAGAAAAAAAAAATTTAAAGTCCTCATTTTGCTACCAATGAAATGAATTAAAAATGAATTAAGTAAAATAAAATACTTTTTCAGCATGGAGAGGTAACTTATATAAAGATACTACATTAAAAATGCAACTAGGAAATTTACCAAGACTGATTAAACTGATTATTGCTATGCGAAAAAATATATTGATTGTTCAGAAAAAGAAATTTTTCGTTATAATGGCCTGTGGAATTATTATAGCATATTCAAAAATAAATATTGCATTAAGCAGAAAGGAACACAAATTAAAACTTATAATTTTTTTTAGATGAAAAAATTAATCAATAAAAAAATCAGTATTCAAATCAATTAAAAAGAATCAGTATATCAACTAAGGGTTTCCAAGTATCAACTATAAAAAAACGAGACTAAACTCCCTAACATTTCTTTAAAAAAAAAAAATTCTGCAAATTTATGTGTTGGCAAAATTAAAGGTTTAAAACACATATTGGTCAATAATATTGAAATATGTTTGAGTGGAAGAAATCTAATGAAGCAGAACATCCAAAGAACTTTTTTTATAGATAGATAATAGCAACACAATAACGATTAAAAATTGTAATTTTAGAAGAAAAGTGAGAGAATTATTATAAGTATTAATAGTTTCGCCCAAAAAACAGCAATTTAAATAAAATTGATGATCTCAAATCTTTTCTTTATTGAGATAAAAAAAAAGCATTATAGTTTATTTGCTTTTGAAAAAGATATTTTCTTTATATACTATAATTTGAATAACAAAAATTTATATAACCAAGAAAGATTGAAAAAAATTTAAGAACCAAAATTGCATGTTTTAATTAAGAAATTAAAAAACGATATTTTAAAGATGTATAAAGTCCAGTATCATTATTATTTTAGCTGTGTGTATGTGTAGTGTAGTGTGCGTAGATGTATACAGTCCAGTATTATTATTATTTTAGCTGTGTGTTATTCAGAAGTACTAACACACACACTTTTGAAAGATATTTAAAAGAAAAATAGTTTTTGAGTGGATTTCTAACTTAATTAAGAATTAAAAAACTATTATAAAAGATTTGATTTTTAAACATTAAAATTGAAGTGTAATATTCATATCCCATAATTAATTTGGTAAAAATAATCATTGAAATAAGTAACCAGATACGAAAAACAAAGCTAAAGGTGCCGAATGCAAGTAAGTGTTAAAAACTAATGAAAAATCAAGAAGTAGATTTTAAAGTACACTTGTGTTTAACTGTGGAATCAATATCTTCAAACAATTGTCCACTATTTATCCACTTTTATCAAATTACATGCTTTTTTTTTTTTAAAATGGATACAAAGTGACAATGTAGCAAAGTTTATAAATAATATAAAATATAATAAACAAATTTACATTTAAATGATTGTAGGACATAACCCAATTAAAAAATCAAAACAACAAAACTAAGTTTAATGAAAAAAAACCTGTAATATTAAATACAACAAAAAATTATTTAAACCTAAAAAAAGAACCTTACAGATCAATTAAAGAAAAACTTTTCAATAAAAGGACAAAGAGTAGCATGAAAAATATTGTTAAAAAGTTGTAATCTTGCTACCAATGAAATGTAACAAAATTTTAAAAAATACTTTGACCTGGACAAAAAGATGCTTCTCACAAAACCATTAACAAAATACATAAAAACTTGTAATACAAAGTAAATATATTGTTACTCGTTTTAACGAATCATGAAAAATTTAAAAATAAACATCAAACAAAAAATAAAATAATAAAAAAAATCTAAACTAGATATAAAATAAGCTATTTTTTATTCATAAAACTTTTAACAGCATCACAACAATAAGAAACAAAGATGCAGAATAAATAACTCTAGGTTAGGGCAGAAGATATGTTCATGTTTCTATTTAGTAAAAAAGTACAGCTTTTAATATTAGTTGTTTTTTATAAAATTGTGCTTGCTAGCCTTATTTTAAAAAAATTAATGTACCTGGCCTAGTTAAGAAGCATTACAATGTTCACATTTCATTCATGCTATGTTAGCCATTTACATTACATCAAAACTTTTTTAATTGAAATGTTTAAACAGTCTTATGAAATAATTCATTGGGAAAATATTAGATAATTAATTGCTGTAATAAACATTTTCCCGGAAATTGTGAAATAATTTTTTTATATATATAAAAAAAAAAGATAGCTAAATAAAATAAAAAAACTTTAAATGCTGTTTTAATTTCTGTCTTTACAATTTCCAATGTTAAAGAAAAGAATATTCTTTTTATTAAATTTAATTTAAGTTTTTTTTTTTATGTTTGTTTTACATTCAACTATTTTGTTTTTATATTTATAGTTTCCGTTCAATAAATTTTTTTTATCTTGTTAAGAAAGTGAAAATATACAAAAGTGCTTAATGCGAATGTACATGAATTGGAGGATAAATCATAATCAAGAATGCAGGCAAAAATATTTTTTTCTGTGACTTACGGGAAAAAAAAAGAGAATCTTTTTAGTAAGTCACCGTAAAAGGATTAGATTTAATTAAATAACGAGTAACATGAGAATGAATTTTAGTAGATGGCACAAGAGACGCTAGCTCTTTAGAGCAGTGCCCATTATAGTATTTATAGAAAAGAGAAAGTGAAGCAACATTTCAATGATGTGACAATGGTTAAAGGTTGGCTGCAAGAGCAAGTCCAAAAATGTTAACAATGTGCTTTTGCACCTTGTCTAAAACAGAAAGAACATCATTTGAAGATCCGCTTCAGATATGGCAATATTATTCCATAAAAGGAAAGGTTTGAGATTTATAGAAATAGAGAATAGAATTAAGAGAAAGAAAGTGGCAAGTACAATAAAGAGATGCAACTTTAGCAGATGCTAATTTTTGCAATGGATTTGATATATGGTTTCCAAAAAAGATCAGAAGTAAGAGTTAATCCTAGAAGACAAAGGGTAGGTAACTCATTGAGTACATGACTGTTCATAAATATAGAAAGATCTAGCAAAAAAATCTTGTAACAAGACCTGTATGTGATATCAGTCAGAAGACTGTACAGCAAGTTCTGTACATCACTGCACAGAAGAGTCAGAAAATTAGAACGAAAATATGAAATTATCTACAGTATTGTTTTAAAATATTATTTATTCATTAAAATATCATTTAAACTACTTGGTAATTTTAACTAAAAAAATATTCATTTTTTGCATTTATTATTTACTTAAAATAATATCAATAATTTACATTGTATAATTTTAAAATGCACAATCAATACTTAAAATTGAGCAACCAATCTTAGTGCTTATATGCACAACTGAACTTAGGGTTCATTATTCAAATAAAAGTCAATTTTAAAAAAACAACCTTTTTTAATGATCCAGATCTTCGACGAACCTCAACCCATTCTTCAGCAGACTTTTTGTTTTTCATAAAATTAGGTATGAATTCATCTTTGACCTTTTCAGTATTTTTATCTGTAAAATTGAAAAAATCTTTAAGTTCTGTTTTCAAATCTGTTGCTAAGAGACTATTTTTTTTAAAAAAAGGAGCTTTAAATAAATTTTTATATAAAAACAAGAATCAAAATAAAGGCTTTAAACATTTCTTTAATATGGACTATAATAATATAATAATCTTTCATATTGAATATCACATTCATATTGAGTTGGATTATATAAAGACTATATATATTCAATTTGTGACTTGTATATATTTTTCTATATATATATATATATATGTATGTATATATATATATATATATATATATATATATATATATATATATATATATATATATATATATATATATATATATATATATATATATATATATATATATATATATATATATATATATATATATATATATATATATATATATATATATATTAGGGCTGTACCGGATTTAATTTTTTCAAATCCGGCCGAAGCCGGATTTGCTGGATTTCTACTGACAGATCTGGCCGGAATCGGAGCCGGATTTCAAAACAAAACTACAGGAGCCAAAATCCTGTACATCCCTACTTGGTGTTGAGCATGGTCAACAATGTGGATTATTTAGAATACCAAGTGACTGCTGTTTTCTGTTAAACTTCATTGTTGTTATTTAAAAACTTTTAAAGCAATTTCTATATATAAATTAATAGAAATTCTAAAGAAATTCTATAGGCCATATGTTTTTAAAGTTTATAGTAATTCTATTGAACTTTTTTTCCGGGATTTTGTCACTCCGCCACTGTAGTGGATCATTGTGTCTATTTATTTCTGGTTCTTTCGGATATTTCCTTAGCTGAGTTTCAATGCCTTTTAGTAATTGTTGTTTATGTGCCCTGCCACCAGCGGACGTAGACTGAATAATTTTATCAATAAATTGCCAGAGTAATGATGATGATGATGTAGAAAAATTATTAAGCCCGGCCTATTTTGGTGGATTTTCTTCATTTTTGTCAATCTTCTGTTCAGTATGCTCAGATTGACTTCAATCTTGTTTTTTCAGCTGTCAGCGTTGCCTGTAATGAGGAGAATTTAGTTTTAAATCCAATCACTTGATTAGGATTGACATCATAGTCTTTATACGTGCATCATTGTAAAATATTGTGTCTTCCCTTCAGAATTTTTTGTTGCGTTGTTGTTTGAAATTAGACTAAGCTTATTAAATTATAAAGAAAAATAAATACAAACACCAAAACAAATATGAGGTTTATAAAATATAGAATTACAAAAAAAATTGATTTTTATAAATAAAATATTAGGTATACATGTAAACACGGGCAAAAAAAATGTAATAAATATTTGACAAAATTCAAAACTCCGGCTAAAACTATGCCGGATTTGCTAAATTTTTGCCGGAGCCGGATTTGTAAAAATGGACGGATTTCGGCCGGAGCAGGAGCCGAAATCCGGTACAGCCCTAATATATATATATATATATATATATATATATATATATATATATATATATATATATATATATATATATATATATATATATTTATATATATATATTTCTATTTGTATATTTCTTTAAAGATTTCAATTACAGTATGATATGTAACCTCTACAAAGCCTTCACTTAAGGTTTTTAAAATAAACGCGTAAAATAACTTTTAACTTCAAAGTTAAGATATTGAATTTAATCAAATTATATCCTTTAATATTTATCACATAATAAAATTTAACCAACAAAGTTATGTGATACACTAAAATCTCAAATATATAAAAAGTTGCAATTACCTTCTTTCAGTGCAATAGGATCATTTTTTGTGGGTATATCATTTTTTGTAATTAGATCATTTTTGGTGGGTGTTTTTGGATCTGGTGATAATTTCTCTATAGCAACATCTAAAAGTAAACATAACAAAATGATATAGAGATATTTTGATACAAATCATTACTTTGAAACATCGATAATAAAAAAAATGCAATTTATAGAAGTTTGTGGTAGTCAATACTTTAAAAATAGAAATAAATAGTTATGGGAAGAAAGTTAGGAAGCATAAGAAATCTAATGCCATAAAAGTACTTTTCATAAAAATGGTTTTAACCAGCATGGTGACGATTATGTGAAGACATTCTTATGCCACAAAAATTCTTATAAAAAAACTCTGACAAATAACAATGTATAGTAAATCTAAGCAGCCTTTTATAATATTGCAGCTTGGTTTTTATAACAGTTTTTCAATTGATACAGGGGTATCCACATTCCCTAAAAATATCTTGAAATTAAATATTTTTATAACAGTTTTTCAATAATTGATACAGTGGTAACTACGTTCCCTAAAAATATTTTGAAATTAAATATTTTTATAACAGTTTTTTAATATAATTGATACAGGGGTATCCACATTACCTAAAAATATCTTGAATTGAATATTTTTATAACAGTTTTTCAATATAATTGATACAGGGGTATCCACATTCCTTAAAAATATCTTGAAATTAAATATTTTTATAACAGTTTTTCAATATATTTGATACAGGGGTATCCACATTCCCTAAAAATATCTTGAAATTAAATATTTTTATAACAGAGCTAAATCCATAAATTTATAACATAAAAATTTACTAATCCCGTAATCAATCAAATTAGATATCTATTAGATATAGTTCAAGATATTTATCTTAACAGTTTAGTAATTTTGTGTCATTCAAATAATTTTTTGTGAGACATGGAAAATGCAGTTTTGAGCATCTATTTGTTTTTTATAAAAAACCATATAGATGCCATATTTAAACAATACATTTTAAACTTAAGTGTTTTAACTACTATATATTGTTATTTTTATATTTAAAAAGAATAAACTAGGAGTTGACTTGATTTAATATTCTCCTAACTTTTTGCAGTATAAATATAAGAGTGGGCATAAAATTTGTGAATAAATAATATTGATTTAACAATATTTAACAATAAAGCAAAAGCATAAAATCCACAAAAGAAATAGGTTAAGGAGATACAAATTATTTAAATAAAGATAATTTAAATAAAGATAATTAAATTGTATTAAAAAAAAAAGCAAACTGAATTAATTTTAATTTTAATAAAATAATCTTTAGAGAGTAATAAAAAAAAGTTGTGACAAAACATAAGAAATGAATGATTACATTTTTTACACCTTAGAGTAGCTCTAGGAGTGTGTGTGTTTGTCTAGGAGTGCCATAAAGTATCTTTCATTTTGTCATTCATTAAGTCTTCAAGTTTTTACTTTTATCATTAAAGTTAAAAATATGAACATCTAAGTTACCAAATTAACAAAATTACCAAGTGTAGGGCTAACAATAGGCCACTTCTCTGGCTGAAACTTCGCTTTAACTGAATGACCATCACAGTTCACCTCTGTACTTAAACTTAATGCCTACATAAAAATATTCTTTTAAGATTTAATTGGACAAAAATAAATATAAAATATATATAGCAAAATATTAAATTTTAATATGTATAAATAAAATTATTTAAAAAAATAAACAAATATGCATATAAAAAAGCAAATAAAAAAGAGTAAAAAATATATAAAACAATGTTCTTAATGTAAGAATATATATATATATATATATATATATATATATATATATATATATATATATATATATATATATATATATATATATATATATATATATATATATATAAGAGTAGAAATTGTACACTAATTAAATAAATTAATCATAATTTGACAAAAGATTTCAAGTTAATGCCGTTTACCAATAGTTTAAAATTATTCTTAAGTAAATGCCACCAAACAATATTAAGGATAAAAACAATAATGACAAAAAAAATAAATTAACAAGAATGAGTATATATATATATATATATATATATATATATATATATATATATTTCTTCTAATTTGTATATGTAAATATATACATATATATTTATATATTTATGTATCTATATATGTTTATATATAAACGTTTATATATATAGTCTTGCATGGTAGTCACAAAGTTTTTCCCATAAACTGTTGTTTTAAAGAGCGCGTTAATAAGCCTGACCAGAAAATGTTAAAAAACTTTACAAAATTTTTTTTTTTTTTTTAAATGATAGACTGCCTGCGCAAACCAAACCCTCAGCCGATGTAGCAGCACTCCCTTGCGAGTCAGGCTATTTGTCAGTCGATGTAGCAGCACTCCGTTACAGGTCAGGCTCTAAGATGGTCGATGTAGCAACACTTACGCATGTTTTAAAAATGTCTTTTAATAAAACAAAAATAAAAACACAACTAATTAAAAAAACTTTCTAGTCATTATTATTGCGGTTTTTTAGAAAAACAATAAAACTTAATGTACTTCCGCATTAATTTAATTGCATTAAATAATTTAAGAGACAAGGTAATAAAAATTGTAGTCGAAAGAGACTTTTTTTTACCATAAAAGTCTCTTTCGAATACACTATAAGGATATATATATATATATATATATATATATATATATATATATATATATATATATATATATATATATATATATATATATATATATATATATATATATTTAAACAATTTAAAATGTATTCTACATTTTAAATTGTTTAAATATATATATATATATATATTTTTGCTAAGTGATTTTCTACTAATTTATATATATATATATATATATATATATATATATATATATATCAGGCCTTGCGATAAAGCGTCGGGCGACGTGAATTTTACGTCGTCCAAGAGCGATTTTGCGTGTAGCTAGGGCTATTTGCATCGAGCAAAAAAATTTTTGATTAAGTATATTTAAAGATTTTTGAGCGGCATTTTAATGAAGTAATTTACGATTATCTTAACATTTAATAAAATATTTTAAAGGGACTACCAAGTCCCGAGACATGTTGTGTTCATATTAAAGAGAATGTTAAAAAAAAAGGTCTGAGCAAATTTTTTTTGATTAAAACAAATTAATAAATGTATACCAAGAAAAACAAATCTTGTTGTTTTAGTCGAAGCTCGTCTTCTCCGTTTTCTCTGGTATTTTGAGTATGTAAAATAAACATGATTTTCCAGGCGCATTACACAGACTTGATAATTTATTTAAGCGCGTTTAATTCATAGGAGTTTTAGTGTATGACATCATTGGAAACATTCTACAAATTCTTTAAAAATTTTACTATTGAATTTTACTAAAATAGCTAACTATAGTTACTTATTTTTTAAAATCTTAACATTAAAAATTTTTTTTTTATAATTCAATAAAATAACACGCTGTCTCGGTTACGGTTACGCCCCAAATGGGGGAGGGGGGCAATAACTTTAGGTGTCTTTTTAAATTTAGTTTTAAGAATAATTTTACCAAATTTATTTCGTTATGCCTAACATTCAAGGTTTTTTCAAATGATGAGACCCTTATGACATGTTTTTTCGGGAGGGGATCTCCGACCCTCTTTCCATTGCACTGGTAGCTATAATTTAGATTTTATCAATGTTTAATGTTTTTATATGATATATAATACTTATAAAGATACTGATAAAAAGTTGTTTTGTATTGTTTTGTAAATTTTTATTAGAAACTTTTATTTCTAAACTTTTCTTATGGTATTATCTATAGCTGTCACCACCGGTGTTGACGGCCCCCCAACATTTTTTTAGGATAACTATATTTTTTTTGAAATGTAAGATTTTTTTTTTAAATTCGGGAGTGAGCCTCTTTGAAACTTTCCCCACTTTGAAGGCCATGTTGACGGTCATGTTATCACTTTAATTGAAGTTTAACTTATTTAGCCGCGTGTCTGAATATATTTAATTAAATTTGTTTTCTAAAACTTGTAGGATATTTTTGATTTTAAAAATTGAAATGAATATTTTTGAAGATTGCAAGAAAATGTTATTATTGAGTTGATGATTCGACAAATAGAATAAATACAAGTCAATCTTTTATTTGTTATTCACAATGTTGTTTTTTAATTTGAATGCAAATTCGACATAAATTCAAAAATACTAAATATAATGCATTTCTTAAACGTGCACTGTGACCGCATTCACTATGTGGACCATCTGTCTTGAATTTTTACCAAGTTATATTTATTATAACATTGAGTAAAATACAGCTGTGTATAATTTACAAAAAATGTAAATTTTATAAATAGTCACAAAAATATTTATTTTATAAATTGTTCGTTAGTTTTTTACAAATCTAACGAACAATTAATTAAACCAAGCACTAAGAAAATATATAAAAATTAAGAATATACAAATAAAATACATAATTTGTAATTAACTTTCAAAATTTTGACAATTTAAAAAATATATATTATAAAACATTTATTTTTGTAAACAAATGATAATAGTTTAAAAGTTTTACGGCTTTACAGATGTGGCTCCGAGAATGAGCCATAATATTAAAGTAATAGTTCATTTGATAATATATTCTTAAAAAAATTTATGCAAAATATCTCAAAACTCAACAAATCGTAAATAATACAATTTCTAAAACATTTCAACAGAATACTCTAGAACTTTATTTCACTTAGTCAGTGTTTTTTTTTGAACCAATAGAATTAGTTTGTTCGCAAATTTGGCGGGTTTTTAGTGTTCGCGAATATTCTTTTTATTCTTCCGCAAGATGTTTTAAGTTAATTATGTTTCCATGCATGTCTGTAAAATAAAAATTAATATATATTAATTTTTTAATTTTTAAGTTCCCGCCATAATATATATTGGATGTTATAATGGAAACATAAATAATGAAATAAGATCACCTCAATACCAAAAAATACATTTTTAAAAATCAGAGAAAAAATGCGTTAATAATTTTTTTTTTTAATATTTACAAAGTAAATTAATAAAAGTGCATTATTATTTAGGTTAAAAATTATTTAATCTAATATTTTGAAAGAAAAAACTTAAGAAATAAATAACAAAAGAAATCAAAATACACGTGGTCTAGACGATTATTTAAAAAAAGTTGCGCAAATAAAATACTATTTTATTTTTAATTTTATTTTGTTTTACAAACACATTTTAGAACTTTAAAATACAATTAAAATGAATATGATTTGGAAAGTGTATGTAAAAAAAAACAATCGGTGTTTTAAACAAACAAAAAAAAAAAACTATGACGTCATGCACTGAAACTCCTATGAATTAAACGCGCTTGAATAAATTATCAAGTCTGTATAATGCGCCTGGAAAATCATGTTTATTTTACATACTCAAAATACCAGAGAAAACGGAGAAGACGAGCTTCGACTAAAACAACAAGATCTGTTTTTCTTGGTATACATTTATTAATTAGTTTTAATCAAAAAAAAATTTGCTCAGACCTTATTTTTTAACATTCTCTTTAATATGAACACAACATGTCTCGGGACTTGGTAGTCCCTTTAAAAACCGCATGCAGTTGATATAAAAGTTTGAATTACAAAAAAATTAAATATGCTCATTATTTACAAGTAGAAAAAATTCAGATTAAAAAAAAAGTTTAAATCTTTTTAAGCTAACATTTTAATAAAATTATTCAGCAATAGCAAAGTTGTCGATAAAATTGAACAAAAATACTTTCTTTTAGTTTTAGATTTTTAACTTAATTATTTTACAGGGGTTTGTTAGGTTTAAAAATTATTCCATAGATTTAAAAATATTTATTAACTGTTAGACGTATTTAAAGTATTTAAGAGTAATTTTGAGGAAACATTTTAAAAATTGGTAAGCGCAAATAAAAAAAAATAAAAGGATTAATATTTAAACGTATTCTACTTAATTCAATAAAAAAGTAAAGCTATTAAAATTTTAGTAAAAAGTAACTCGAAAAAAATTAAATAATAACAATCACTTTTTTGTTAAAAGTTACCGAAACTCAACGAAGCGTGCTCAAGAACAGCTGCTGAAAAATAGAACATCAATAGTTTTTCGAATAATTTTTAAGAATAATTTTTTCGCTGAAAATGTCTTTTATACCTATAATATTTTTATTCTAACATTTTATTTTACCAAAAATAAAATTCCTTGTAAACATTAAAAATCTATTCAAAACGTTCGTTAAAGTTTTTTAGCAATACGAGTGATTGTGATTATCAACCGCTTTAAAAAATAAATAAAAATAAATAAATAAAAAAATATTATATAAAATCGCTAGTAAAAATATTAACTATTGCAGTTTTTATTCGTACAATATTAAAATTTCCAGTTTATTACTCGCTGACTTTTTTAAAAAGAAAAAATAATTATTTAAAAAACTTTTAATTACATATTTGAGAAAAAAAAATCAAATATTAGCATATTTTATAATCTTTTTTAAATGTTTAGTTATAATGTTTTTTATTCGTTTAGTATAGACAAAACATGTCAAACGTCGAGAAAATAAACAAATGTTTTTATATTTTAAAAAACGAAACATTCCAAAACATTTTTAAATAATAACATTTCTACATTAATGATTTAAAGTAGTTTTGCGGTAATTAAGTAAATTGGTGCAGTTAATGTCGATAAATATGAAAAGCAAATAAAAAGAATTAAATGACGTCAAAAATCACGTCGTGCTTATGCGTCGCGCAGTTTTTATTAATCACAAGGCCTGATATATATCAGCAGAAATGGCAGGTGACCCATGTCAGCCACCGTGCCCAAATAACATCAAATAATCCCCGTGATTTCTTTAACCATACTTGATCTTCATTAAAAAGTAGTGAATTTCTTTCGTGTTGAATTAATGACTTATTCTCAGGATTAATAACCAGATGTTGCTCAGCAAAACTAATAACGTTGTTTAGAAGTTTTTCATTTATAGATGGGTAAAAACTGACAATATCAATTATAAGAAATTTATAATGATGTGTATCATTTATGGACCTAACATCTTGGGTTTTTTTCCACTGATTAAGATAAAGAATGTTCACAAGTTCAAAATTTATATTGGAAATTATGGTTTTACTAATTCTGCCGATTTTATTTTTTGCAGGGTCTATTAACCGAATGAAATAAGTTGATTGCTTACTGATTTGGGGCTTTTAAAAATTAATTATTTAGTCAAATCTTTTTTTTAATTAATTCATTATGTTAATGCATTATTGTGACAATACATGATTATATAAGTAATATTATAGTAACATTAATAATAAGTTATTATGACAATACATTATTGTCACATGGCTTTATATGTAAATATATATATCAACCCTCGGAATTTGAGTCGGCATTCCGCAATACCAACCTAATTGCCGACCTGAAATTGCTCGAGGTCTGCAAAAAATTGCCGACCTCATTTCTATGTTTTATGGTCAGATCTTTGTATCAAATAATTTTTGCCGACCTCATTTTTCCTAAATCCGAGGGTTGTGTATATATATGTTTATTGTTTTAAATAATTGTAACATTTATAATCATGATAAAAACCATGATTAAAATAATATGTAAAATGTATTCTTTTATTGTACCTACAAAATAAAATGTTTATAGATATACTAAAAGAAACTAATAAATGGAAAAAGTAAAAAAAAAAAACAGATTTTAAAATTTCAAAATGAACTATTTTTGTTAGCTTAGATATTTTGTTTTTGCAAAATTGAAATATGTCTCCAATGAGCATGATTATACGAGTTTATCATAACACCCTTAAAAGTGATCTTTTTGACAGTATAAGGTATACATATAGATAACATTTATCTATCTTTTACTTTAAGTATTGTTTAAAGAGATTCATTGGGAATCAAAGACTTCCTGATGAACCTGAATATAAAAACTTGTAACAATATAATTATTACATCGAAAATATAACATCGAAGTACTTTTAGCAATTTCTATAATTTGATAAATTGTAGAAATTAATAAATATAAATAATGTAAATACCTCTAAAATCAAGCTATAATCAGTAGTCAACTTTTTTATTCTGTTAAAATTGGCAATCATTTCAATTGGTATTGATCCATCACTCCTCATCTAAACAAAACATCAAAATTTGTAATGTCTTTAAATTTTTAAAAAAGAAAGCTTGAAACAAAATAAAACAAATACAAATAAAAAAATATATATCACCATTAAACCCACTAATCACTTTAACTGTCACTTAATTTTTGTGCACAATAGCTCTAGCATCAGGTTAAGTTTTAAAAATTAAAAGAATTCTTTAGAGCAAATAAAAAAGATCAGAAATAACTATAAATTAAATGCAAAGCACAACTACACCCATTATGAACTGAATGGACCTTAATATTTCTTGAAGTCAATATCTTAATAGTATTATATTTTTAAAAGTATTTTAAAAAATTCAGCATATTAATAATAAAGAACATCAAGCTTACTATTTTTTTTATTGTATACATTAAAATGATGTTTACTAAATGACCTATAGCTTTTTTATACCATTTTTGAACACATAGTCTCTGTCAGATACAATATTATCATTTGATCTGAACAATCTACACCATCTATGAGGTGATTTTATGCATCTAAAATTATCTTGTTATACACAAGTATAACAAGATGATTTTAGATGACATGCAGTCTTTATCACAAAAAGTGTCTGCTACTGTATAAATAATTACATTATAACCAGTAGTGGATAAGAAAGGTGTGCGTTAGCATTCCATTCCTGACCATTTGTTATTTTTTTGGTTAATTACTTAACCACTGCTAAAATTTTGAAAATGGTTTTAAAATGCGCTAAATAAATTATAAGGTAATAAAGCGTGAAATTGCTTTTAAAGATTGTATACTATAAAAAAATATTCATTCAAATTATTGAACGATATTTTATTGTTAAAAAGTGTACTTTTTACGGTGAATATAAATATTTTTAAAAAGCTTTGTACAATTAATTTTATAAACAATAACAAAAATTATTTTTTTAAATGAACTTTGTGATGAATCCATAAATTTAATGTCAAAAACATAACAAAGTTATTTATTTTTGTTATGCTATGTAAACTTTTTAATAAAATTTGTTTACACTAACGCTTTCAAATTAAGTTATAAAACTCCATTAAGTAAATTATTATAGAATATTAAAAAAAAAATTTTTAAAAGCACTTTTTTAATGATGAATGTAATTTTTTTTAAACAATTTGTATTCTTAATTTAATAAACAACGACGACAACAAATGCATTTCATTAAACTTATTTTAAAAAATACTTTTTGATAATTTCAATAAAGTTAGTTTTATATTAAACAATAATTAGATATAAGTTTTTTTTTATTTAAAAGAGTTTACCTAGTATTATAAAAACATAAGAAAAGATCAAAGTTTTATATCATACCTACAAGTTCATTAGTAAATAAAAGTTCAAAAATTTGATAGTGCAGATTTGTGGACACCTGATGGTGCAGATTTGTGGACACCTGACTCACTGTGAAATATTTGTTGTGAAAAAATGGCAAATATTTCATAGTGAGCCAGGTGTTCACAAATCTGTAATAACACAGGTTTACTTTTTTACAACATAGACCATCAATAATTTCAAGTTTTTTGCAGTCATTCGTTCTTTTTACAAGTTTTTTACAACAACAAGAAGTAGACTTAGTAAATGTAGGGGAGAGTTGCCATAATTAGAACAGCACTTTAATTGGAACACTTGCATTTATTTTTAAAAAAAAATGAATTAAATGTATTTTTGTTTGTGTTTAAATCAATATAAAAAATTTGACCTAATATATTAGTAAACAAAATAAATGTTAAAATGTTGACATAGAAGTATGGCTTTAAAGTAAATTAATATAAGCAGGAATACAAACCACATGACATGATAAACAAAACTTTTGAATTTAAAATAAACATTTTTTTGTTAAGTAAATAATAACAACTTGGAAACATGAATCTAAGTAATATTTTTGTAATACTCTTCACACATCAAAAAAAAATTTACTTGCTTTGTTATTACTTTGTTTTAGAAAACAACCAAAATCATGACACAATTATACATATTTTGTCATTATTAGAGTTTGCAGGCAGAGAAAAAAATAAAGCCAGTATGATGCGGTTACTTATTTTATATTTAGTTCATATGGTTTAATAGAGTTGTTCGTTTTATGTTTAATTTACATTTAGTTATGGTTTAACTCGTGACAAAGTTAAAAAATCTTAAAAAAACTTCATAAAAAAAACTTCATAAAAAAAACTTCTATAAATTTAGTTATTAAACAAAACATCGTAAATACTGTAAAATTTAACTTGTAAAAGTGTTAAGTATTTACATCATAAATACTGTAAAATTTAAATTGTAGAAGTGTTAAGTATTTAGTTGAGTAATTACCAGTCTTTTGGAGAAAAAATATTCTATTCATTAAATGAATTTTGTTTCGAACTTAATGTTTTAGTTACTATTTATAAAAACAATGGTTTTAAGCACTTAGCATTTCTTATTGTTTAATAATGTGTGTTAAAAACTTATTTAATTAAAAATTACATTTGTTTAGCTTTTTATTGATATATAATTTGTTATGCTTTTAAAGAGATTTACTATTTGAATTTTAATTAATTGTCAATGTTATGCCATTCATATTTTATTCAAAAAATGTGCGGCCGCTACAAAAAGATTTTTATTTGGCTGTAAGCAAACAAGTTAATGTGATTCTTTGTTTTTATACTTATATAATATCTTTTTTTTGTATATTTTAGTACAAATATTTGTTTTAACTTTAATTTAGTTTGATTTGTACGATTATTAGTAAACTAATTTGTTTAATATTCATTTTTTACTTACTTCAGTTAATATGTTTTATTTAAGTCTTTTATTTAGCTTATACTTTAAATTAATTTAGTAAAATTATTCTTTTAGTATCTAGTTTATATTAAGTTTATATTTATATTTAATTAAGTACGTTTTACTGCAAATATTCGTTATATATTTTTTTGTGAAAAAAAGTTTGTGGAAAAAAGTAAAAAGTTATACAATTAACATGATTTAGTGATTGTGGCAAAAAAATAACACAATATCTTAAAACATAAAAATTTATACAATGATGTCATATACTGAAACTGAATTGAACACACATAGAATAAATTATCAAGTCTGCAGATTGCAGCTAACATTATACAGACTCTGAGAACAAAAAAAATGGAGACAGCGAGCTTCAACTTAAATGTGAATTTTAAAATTAATGGTGTGCATTCATTATTTAGTTTTAATAAAAAAAAAACTAGCAGTAAGCAACGGGTTGTTAGTAAATAAAATCAAAAAAAAAACGCGTTAAGAAAAGCCTAGAAACTACTTTAAAATAGAAAAGCCTAGAAAATGACGTAAGTCGACTATTAACCACTACTATTAAATTAGCGTATTAATATTATCAAATTCATAAAAAAAATTCATCTTAGATGTTTTTTTTAAACATTTTCTATAACATAAACACAACTTAAGCCTTCCCAGGAAAGGCGTACGGTTTTTCGTCTTGTATAACCATGCGTGAGTATTTTATTTTAGACAACTTGGTCACAGCCATTTGCAAGTTTTATTATATGTGTTGCTGACAAAAGTTTTAAAAACAAAAAATGCAAAATAACAAAATAGGAATTTAAAATAAACTTAAATAAAAAATAATAATAACAATAATTTAAATAATTTGTGTACTGTTTTTATTTTTCTTCATAGTGGCTATTATTTTCGACAAAATTTGGTCCAAAAAAAAAAAAAAAAAAAAAATTTAACATTAAAAAGAATGACTTTATAATTCATTCTTTGTTAAATAAGATAAGTTCTCCCAATTTTTAATTGAAGTAGAAAAGCATCTAGAAAAAATAAACCAGATATTCAAATATTAAAAGCTTGAGAAATTTTTTTAAATTACTTAAACAACTTTTTAAATTACTTAAACAAAAAACGCACTTTATAAAAAGTTATGCATATGAAAAATGTCACTAATAGTCCGTATAGAGGCGCGTTAATTTTAAAATCAACCAACAAAAAATTTAAATTGGTTGATTTAAAAATTAACGCGCGTTTTTACGGACCATTAGTAACGTTTTTAATAATGCTAAACTTTTTATACATTATGTTTTAATAGTTACGTTTACATTTTTATAAGTTATTTAAGTTTTAAATATTATTTGGATATCCACTATATTTTTCTAGATGCTTTTCTACTTCAATAAAAATTTGGGAGAACTTATCTTATTTAACAAAGAATGAATTATAAAAGTTATAAGTGCGTTATAAAAGTAATAACACTATTAGTGTTATTGCTTTTATAATGTAGTTTGTCACTAGAGTGTTGTTACTTTTGATTTGCAAGTTTATTGTTTATTTTTTATAACTTTTTCGCTAACAAATTAAAGTTGATTCACCCCTTGAAAACAATGAACATGTTTTTGTATAAACTAAAATTTTGAAGACCAGATTTTATTTTTTCAGATTTTGCATTTAATTCCTTTGAGGCTTCAAATGCACATATATAAAGTCATTGTTGCAACATTAACCGCTAATTACTTATTTATATTTACAACAGATGTTGTTGCTTAAGTCCAGAATGTCTCCAGAAGAATACTCAAAATTTACAAATGACGGGTATTTCACCATTTGCTGAACACATAAATTTTGGGCCAGCATTTGGACTGATATGACTGTAGAGGAGGCACTTATGAGATCAATGAAGATATTAGGTGGGCTTACACGTGGAAGAAGTTTAACTGACAGTGTACTTTCTTGTTGGATTCTCGGTATGCCCGGATGATCAACTGTTGCCACAGGTATTGAAGATTTTTCCGGTATCACTTTAAAATCGTCAGAGCAATACGTCGAATTGTGCGAATTGAGGCAAGCACGTGACATTTGCGATACCAACATCTTTATTGGATGAATAAAAGCCAATAAACTATTTTGTGTGCCCAACTTGAACTAATCTCACTTTACAAAAGTAAAGTGGATTATAAAAAAATTTACTGTGATAGAGCAGTTGAAACTGGCATAAATGCTATGAACATAATAGTTAGAATGAATTTTGCCAATATTTATTTAAAACGGGCGGATAAAGAACATGCAGCATGTTTTAAGTACGAGTTGGCACCAACGCCTCCAGCATGTTTTGATAAGTCGCTTTTAATGCAAAAAAGTTCAAAAGCAGTTCTATGTGATACAATAGAATCAATTGTACCATGTGACAAAACAACACTTGACTCAAAATTTGTCATCGATGGAGGGTATCTACTTTACCACATTGTATTGATGAGACCAGCAACATATAGATATATTTATAAATTTTATTTATCAAATATGCTACATCAATATGGGAAAAACTGTTGGGTTGTTTTCAATGGTTATTCTGATAGTCTATCTAATACCAAATCAAAAGAATACAGACAAGGCAATTCCAAAATAGTTTCAGCAAGTGTTATTTATGACGAATCAATGACAGTTATTTCAAGCCAGGCAAATTTCATTTCGAATCCTTGCAACAAAACTAGATTTAATGAAGCTTTATCAGTGCACCTTGCAGATTCTGGAATTCATGTTAAACAGGCACCAGGAGATGCGAATACTCTTATTGTCAATACAGCAATTAATTTATCAAAATATGGTTTCAACGAACCTGTTGTAATTATAGGAGAAGACATAGATTACATGAGACTCTAACAGATTCAACTACTAATATTTTCATAATGAAGTCTGGCAAAGATACTAAGCAAGACAAACTTTACAGTGCGAACAAGTTGATTTTATTTTTACATGCAATGTCCGGATGCAATTAAACATCATTTCTGTACAGTCAAGGCAAAAAAAAAAAAGCCTTTAAATTGTTGCATAACAATGTTATTATATAAGTTGTTGATTTATTTAACATGCCAGAAGCCAAACACAATGAATTTGTTCATGCCGGAGAACAATTTTACCTAGCACTATGTAGATTGGAAACAAAGTCAATTTCACTTGATAAACATCGTTATTATAGTATCTTTGCAGAGTAGCATCAAACCTAGTTAACAAAACCTTTGATTTAGCTGTATTATCTCTAACGATTTCTGGAACAAAGAAACATTTATTTTGTGTCAACCATCAAGTACAGCAATGGGTCAGTCATATATTGGATCTACTGGAATGGGGTTGGAAAATAATAACATCAAACCTCTTACCAACATCAAATCTTTAACAGCAAGCTCCAATTTTTTGCTTCTTGTGAGCTCTATGCAATTTTTTTAAAAACTTGTAGTCTTTTGAATAATAAATATAATGATAAAAGCGATTAAAATAACCCAAAACTTTCTACTAAAATAATACATTCCTGTAGTAGTTGATTTGCAATAATTGAAAATGGCCTTAATAGTTACACAATTGTATTAAGGGGGTTTGAATTCCTCATTTTAAACTAATTTTAGGTTGCATGGGCGATATGGGGCTCATTTTGAAAATCGTGCAGGGGGGGGTATGCGCGTTTTTTCCGGACCATTAGTAAGATGTTTAGAAATGCTAAACTGTTTATAAAAATATGTATTCGTAAAAGTTGCTGAGGATTTTAACATTGTTTAAATATCCATTGTTTTTTTTTTTAGATGCATTACTACTTTAATTAAAGTTTGGAATTACTTAACTAAATCATTTTTATTTATAATATCTTGATGATGTGTTGTTTGATCAAACAATAAACTATAAATGTAACTTAAAAGAGTGTTACAAAAGTAACAACACTGTAGTGTTATTACTTTTGTAGTCATAAATTTATTGTTTTGTTTTTTATAACATTTTCACTAACAAATTAAAGTTTATTCGCCTATTCCGTAAATTTCGTGGTTTTCCATAAACTAAAACTTTGAAGACCAGATAATTTAACAGATATCGCAATTCGGGATGCGTTAATTCAACCCTTGAATATATTAAAGTTTGATACAATATCATTATGATAATTTTGTAACATTTTGAAATAAGTGTAGTTAAGCTATTGTTCAAAATAAGATATGATATGAATCACTAACTTGAAAAAGGGGATATTTCCTGCAAAAACTCACATAACATTTTCAAGTTAGCAATTCATATAGTTAAAGGTTTCCAATTTCTTTACTTAATATTTGTATACACAATAGCATTTTCTTCCAAGCAAATTTCTCAAAGACTTATATAACCGTGGGTTTACTATGAACAATTACTAGTAATTGAAAGAAAGATTTGGAGGAAACAATGATATAGCATGCCGAATCTGAATTTTCAATAAATCATGTTTCTACAAGCTCAGCTATTAAAAATTTGGATGCCATCTTGGATGCCATCATGGACTTTAAATAAAGCTCCTCTCCGAATTTGGCCAATTTTTCTGATATGAATTTAGGAATGCATACAGAACATTCACAGCAATTTTTAGCTTGCTGCTAACTTTTTTCGGGTCAAAACCTAATTTGACTGGCCTAAATGATATCATTAGATAAAACTTTATTTTTATATTATTACTGATAGCCTTAACTAACATAACAGTCAAAAAATATGTAACAGTAATAAATCTGTAAAATTTCTTCTAACCTGTTGACGTAAGAAAAAATCACCAATGAGATTTTCTTCAGAAAAATAATATTCACTGAAAATTAATAAAATTTACATTTTATTAGAAAATAACAAGTATATTAAAGTGCCTCTAAAAACAACTTTTTTTGAAATTGTCTGCTGCCACCCCCTAAATGTGTTTTATGTATTAAATTAACACTTAGTTTTAGATTTTTAAAATTTTAAAAAAAATTAGTGTTAATTTAAAAATTAAAAAAAAATTTTAAATAAAAAAAAATTTTAGGGGTTGCTTAAGACCCATAAACATCAAACCGGTCCTTAATATTTTGAAAATTTTTTAAAAGTATATCATGTTGGGTCTCAAAAGAATAGAAATTTTAAATAAATTACAAAAATAATTAAAATAATTTATAGAAACACAAATTAAAAAAATCATTAAAAAAAAAAAACTTTGAAAATATGTGCTTTTTATTTTTTGTTAAAAAATGATAGTTTTTAAGCGATAAAATTTAAAATAGTAATCTTTTTTTAAATTTTTTTTTTTTTTTTTAATTTTTATAAAATTTCAATTCTTTTGAGACCCAACATGATATACTTTTAAAAAATCTTTTTAAAATATTAAGGACCCTTTTGATGTTTAAGGGTCTTGAGCAACCCCTAAAAAAATTTTTTTTCAAAATTTTTTTTAATTTAGTGTTAATTTATTACATAGAACACATTTAAGGAGAGGCAGCAAACAATTTCAAAAAAAGTTGTTTTTAAAGACACTCAAGTATATATATAACAAACATTCTATGTACATATATATATACAATAATCAAACAATAAATTTAAAAAAACCTACATTTGTTTTCGAATAAGATCTTTGAGAACAGTTTTATCAACAATTGTTGTGATTGGTTGGACTGGCTCTTCAGCATAAAAACCTCCATGTTGCTGAGGAACAAAAAGTCCATCAGGAGTAACATAAAAACCATTTTGTTCCTCGTATCCAGCCGAAACTTAAAATACAGTTTAATCATAATTTATTATATTAAAATGAGGGATGATTTCAAGGTTGATCATAGTTTAAACCAAATTAAAAATAGAAAAACAGACAAAAATATAACTATATTTTTAATGGAAGTTTTAAAATAAATTTTTATATAAATCTTTTTTAGTAATTTATTAGTAATTTTTTAGTATTTAGTTTTAGTAAACACAGTTTAAAAATAAATAGAAAATTTGAGGTCATGCCTGCGTACACTTTCAAAATATTATTAATAAGAAATTTGACATAGTGTAACCTGACAATAATAAAAGGCCAAATATGACACTCATGTTCCACACAGGGACAGATTAGAGATTTTTCAAAAACATGTTGATAAAATGTTCAAAATAAAAGTATTATAGTAAAGCGTGTAATAAAAGTAATGATAGTGTATAAGCAATGTACATGCAATAAAAATGCACAACTAATAAAATCTAGGCCACATTCTAAATGATTACAAGATGATATGTATATATATATATATATCAGGCCTTGCGATAAAGCGTCGGGCGATGTGAATTTTACGTCATCCAAGAGCGATTTTGCGTGTAGCTAGGGCTATTTGCGTCGAGCAAAAAATTTTTGTTTGAGTATATTTAAAGATATTTTTGAGCGGCATTTTAATGAAGTAATTTACAATTATCTTAACATTTAATAAAGTATTTTAAAAACCGCATGCAGTTGATATAAAAGTTTGAATTACAAAAAAATTAAATATGCTGATTATTTACAAGTAGAAAAAATTCAGATTAAAAAAAAAGTTTAAATCTTTTTAAGCTAACATTTTAATAAAATTATTCAGCAATAGCAAAGTTGTCGATAAAATTGAACAAAAATACTTTCTTTTAGTTTTAGATTTTTAACTTAAATAATTATTTTACGGGGGGTTTGTTAGGTTTAAAAATTATTCCATAGATTTAAAAATATTAAAAGACATATTTAAAGTATTTAAGAGTAATTTCGAGGAAACATTTTAAAAATTGGTAAGCGCAAATAAAAAAATAAATAAAGGGATTAATATTAAAACGTATTCTACTTGATTTAATAAAAAAGTACAGTTATTCAAATTTTTGTAAAAAATAACTCAAAAAAAATAACTTAATAATAATCACTTTTTTATTAAAAGTTACCGAAACTCAAACTCAACAATTTTTAGTAATACAAAAGATTGTGCTTATCAACCGGTTTATGAAAATAAATGAAAATAAATAAAAAAATATTATATAAAATAACTGGTAAAAAATATTAGCTGTTGGACAGTTTTTAATCGTACAATATTAAAATTTCCAGTTTATTACTCGCTGACTTTTTAAAAAGAAAAACTAATTATTTGAAAAACTTTAAATTACATATTTGAAAAAAAAAAAAAAAATTAAATATTAGCTTATTTTATAACTTTTTTTAAATACTTAGTTATGTTTTTTATTCATTTAGTATAGACAAATTGTGTCATGAACATTTCGATTTTTAAAATGCATTTACATTTTAAAAAACGAAAAATTCCAAAGCATTTTTAAATAATAACATTTCTACATTAATGATTTAAAGTAGTTTTGCAGTACTTAAGTAAATTGGTGCAGTTAATATCGATAAATATGAAAACCAAATAAAAAGAATTTAATGACGTCAAAAATCACATCGTGCTTATGCGTCCCGCAGTTTTTATTCATCACAAGGCCTGTATATATATATATATATATATATATATATATATATATATATATATATATATATATATATATATATATATATATATATATATATATATATATATTAAAAAGAAAAAATAATTATTTATTATATTTATATATTAGCAGCGAAGAACCCAGACGTGTTTTAGTACCGTTTTACCGGTATGGGCGCCCAAAAAAAGCGCCCAAAAATTATTTTTATTTCTAATTTTTCTTTTAATTTTTTATGAAAAAAAGAAAAAAAAATTAGTTCTAAATAGTAATTTAGTTTTAAGTAGTTGATAAATAATTCTCAGTTTAATTTAGCTACCTCATTTTTTCTTTACAAAAATAAAAAGAATTAAAAAGAAATTGCATTTTTACATAACTACGTGACGTAATTTGCCTTCAGTTATTAACTGGACATAACTTTTAAAAAAATCAAAGTCATTATGAAACTTAATTTTAAAACCATGATTCAAAATTTTATAACAATGGAATGTATTTGCTTTTTTGAAAGTTAAAGCGTTTTTAAATATCCATTCAGCGTAAGGTTAATTTTTGTTTTTGGCAATTAAGAGTAAACCGCTTTTGATAATAAATAAACAAAAGTAAAATATAACTTGTAACTATCGTGCAAACTTGTAACTATCCTCGTAACTATGGCGCAAGTTTAATTTTCAAATAAATGAACTATTGATCTTTAGCTTGTTATTTTAGTTTACGCGAGGGAAAAAAAAAATGAAGTATAAATTTTTATAGACTTTTTTTCCGTTCATTATTCTTTTTAAAATAATAAAAAAAAAGGTTTCAATAACTTAATAAAAGTTTTATTTAGATCTGTTTAAAATAGCCCATATTAAAATAGCAAATATTCAAATGTAATTTTTTAAATTATTCTTTATAATTAAAAATATATATATTTTTAAATATATGTTTTTAAAAATATAATATGGTTTTTAATCAAAATAATAGAATATTTTTTAATTTATGTCTACTGTAATTATCTCTTTAATAATCTCTTTAAAAAGGCGCCTTAAAATCACTTAAAAAATTATAACCTTTGGTTAAAGTTAAATAAACAGATTTACTAATATTAAAATCAAAATTTTAAATTTAAAATAATAAAAACTTTAAACTTAAATTTAAAATTTAAAATAATAAAAGTTTATTAAATGCTTATGTTTTTAATTCAAATACAAGACGTAAAACTTTTTTGTTGATTTTACAAATATTACGCAATATAATATATTTAAATATATTATGTAGTGTAAATATTGATTAAAAATTGTTTAAAATATTTTTAATTATTATTTTAAATTAAATTTACTAAAATATAGTTAATAACTGTTTATAATACTTTAAACAATTTTCAATAATTATTTACTGATAGCGTGGTATATGGAACAAAAGCGTTTATTAAAATCAAAAGTAAAATAGTTTTCTTTTAGCTAAAGTAACATCATCCACCAGTAAATTCATGTATTCAAAAAATGCCTTTAAATCAACACCTTATTATAGGATAAAACTGAACAAGATAAACATGAATGATTATTAAGAAAATGATGATTAAAAATTATTGTTACTTTAAATTGTGAATAAGTTAACTTAAATCTTCCAATGATTTAATTGCCTTTTCTATTTGTTTCTATTTTTACAAAGAATCGCTTAAGATTTTTTTTAAACTTGACTTACTAATTAAATCATAAAATGTTTAAAAATTAGGATATTAAAAAGACGTTATTTTTTTAAACAATTTTTTTTTTGCAACTTTTCGAAAAAAATGTTTATACAAATTAAAAATGTTAAACTTTTTTCTTTTCAATAATAAATAAATTTGTTCATTTATTAAACAATTAATAGAAGTAATTTGTAAAAGCGTTTTGCACAACTTTTATTAAACATTTTAAAAGATCTGTTTTAAAGTAATTTTTTTCAAATGCAATTAAAAAGATAACAAAAACTAATTTCTACTAATTTCTAAGTTAATTACACAAAATTAACCTTACAAAGGAGGCACACTAGGAATGTGCACTTTTTTGTGGTGGCAAGATAACTTTGGAGCTTTAACACAAGTAGAACCTATTATATATTTATATTTATATATAATATATATAATATATTTGAATATTATATTATATATTTATTATATATTTGAATGACAAAAACTCAGACTAAAGCTTAAATAATTTTAACTTTCTACTTTTATATGTGCTGTAATATTTTTCCTAATTTTTAAACATTTTATGATTTAATTAGTAAGTCAAGTTTAAAAAAAATCTTAAACGATTCTTTGTAAAAATAGAAACAAATAGAAAAGGCAATTAAATCATTGGAAGATTTAAGTTAACTTATGCTATGCGGTAGTGGTGTAGTGGTAGAGCGCTCGCTTCATAAACGAGTGGTTCCGAGTTCGATCCCCACCACGTCCCTGGTAGTACCGCGCTCAACTCGTTTCTCCGCGCAGCGGCCTTGCTCGTCAAGGTTCGTGTTTCGGAGTTATAGAGTTGTGAGAGGGTTATAACCACAAATAAGTAGCCTCCTCGTCTGTAGTGGCCTTCTCGGCCTTGAGGAGGTGAATTAAAAAAAAAAAAAAAAATATGAATTTTATACATGCAATGTCCACTCATCATAATTAATAATCTTATGTAAACCTATAGGACCTATATTAAATCCATAGGATCTGCTAAACTAAATATTTATGTTTACAGATTTTATAAAGCTACTGTCTTTGTGCCAGAGATGAGGAATCCCAAAAAAACTGTACATCAAAGTCATCTGGCTTTAAATATCTACTTTTTCCTGATCTCTAGCATCAAGGAGCTCTAAAAATGTTGGGTGACCAGTTATAAGAAAAAAATTCACAAGATTTAATGAATTTCTAATATCTGAAATGGCAAAGAAGTCAAAGAATAAGTAAAAAAAAAAGTGAGAGTAAAAAAAAAAAAATCATTTTTTAAACAGCCTTGTTAGGAGTTTAAAAATTAGTTTTTCCGGTGATTTATCTCTGAAAATATTATACAAAATAAATAACAAAACTAAATTAGGCTGTACTACACATATTATGATAATACAGGACAAGATTTACAACAAAAATAAGAAATTTAGTTAATTTAAATAAACTGAGTGATAAAAAATCAAAATATAGAGAAATTCTAAACAGAAGAATAAGATCTTGAATGAAACTAATTCTAAAACTATAAAATTTTCAAAAGATATCAAAATCTATAAATCAATTTTTACCTCTACCGCCTCTACCTCTGCCTCTTCCACCCCGACCACGTCCTCTAACACGACCACGGCTGGTTCTGCCTCTACTATATTCAGAAGAAACATTGTCCAAATCTTGTGTAGTTGGATCTATTGGCAAAGGAGTCCATTTTTTTTTGAACCCTAAAACAAATAAATGAATTTTTATTATTTTATTTCATTAGCATTAAAATCTTTTTAAAAAATTTCTTCAATGTTAGTAACAGAAAGAATAAATATTTATAGATATACAACATTAAATTAAATATAAGCCAAGTGAAATGTTGAAGCAAAATTACCAGGCTTTGCAATATCCAAAAATTTTATTCATTTTATATAACTATTTTATGATATAACATTTCAATTTTATTCATGGTTGAATTCTTATTAGTTAAAAAATTTAATAAATTACTAAATTGAAAAAATTACTAAATTGGAAACTAGTAGAATATACCTTTTCTCTTGTTAGGTGTTCCCTTTGGTGATGGACCTGGAGGACTGGTTGTATTCTAAATAAACATTTTAAAACCCTTTAAAATAAAGAACTAAGCACTAATGGCTGTTTAATAAATATACAGATTTAAATTTAATTATGTTATTTTACTAATTTAAGTATCCATATGAATAAATATTGCCTTTTTTTAAAAAACAATTTTGCAAAATTTAAATTGAAGACAATAAAATTTATAAAAAATTAGCACCATACAACAAAAAATTTTAAAAAATTGATTTGTATCCACTGTTAATGTTTTTTCAGGGTATTTTACTTAAATAACTAATTTTGACCAGAATAGCTGTTTCATAAGTAGAACTCAATAGCTATTGAATGACATTATTGATGAGCCTGATATGATCCAAAAGATCACTGGTGAAGAATCATGGGTATATGATTATGAAATTGAATCAAAAGTCCAATTGTCAAAAAAGAATTACCCTGGAGAACCAAGAGCAAAAAAAACATGCTTGGTTTGTTTAAAATTAAAAGTGTTGCTCAATTTCAAATTGTAAAAAGGCCCAAAAAACTGATGTAACAAACTAATATTTAACCTTTAATATATTAACATTTAATATTTAAGATATTGACGCTCCTATCTTTATTTATTGACGAATGTCTAATTTTAGGGGTATATGATAAATAAGGGAGTTTTATTTTCAAATAACTTTTTAAATCAACTTTTATTTAATTATAAGGGAGATTTATTTTCAAATAACTTTTATTCTAGTTAATGAATCATTATATATATATATATATATATATATATATATATATATATATATATATATATATATATATATATATATATATATATATATACATTATATATATATATATATATATATATATATATATATATATATATATATATATATATATAATATATATATATATATATATATATATATATTTATATATATATATATATATATATATATATTATATATATATATACATTATATATATATATATATATATATATATATATATATATATATATATATATATATATATATATATATATATATATTTATATATATATATATATATATATATATATATATATATATATATATATATATATATATATATATATATATATATATATATATATATATATATATATATATATATATATATATATATATATATGAAGACCACACGGGTAAAACCACAGATGTCACATTTTTCTCATTTCGAGAAAAATGAAATTTAGTGTTTAGTGACTTTAGATATCTGTTTATTAATAATTTATTTAATTAAAAGTATATTTTTCTGACATTTTAGTCCTTATACAATATAAAAACGCAGTTTTTGTGCTAAATACAAGTATAATTTATTCACAATGTACTTTTGAAAACAAGACACTCATTTTGGACATCTGTTGTTTTTCCGTTGTAAACTCATCAACTCGTAAATTACGTTAGATTGTAACCTTTTAGAGCACTTATTTTTTTTTAAGGTAGATGGTAACACATTGTAATTTACAACTACAACGTACTAAGTGTGTGATGGGATAATAAAGCCACCGCCCCCTCCCCCTCTTTTAATAAAAAAAATTCGATTCACGTTCACAGAAAAACATTTTAAAAAATCAAAATGTTTTTTTAAATGTTTTTCTGTGAACGTAATGTTGTTTACTTCATCCGAAAAGTTAGTCATGTGACTTACGCTTTTATTATCATTGGTTTAGTTAAAAATAACTTGTTTTTTACGCGGTAAACATTGGACAACAGTGGTTGTTTCAAAGTTGCCCTTTTTTTTAAATGACCATAGAACCTTAAAACATAGTTTTTTTGTTATGAATTTTTAAATTAAAATAGGTTAATACTAAAATATCATAAAAATATATAAAACTTGAAATTTTCAAAAAGTGGACATCTGTGGTTTTACCCGTGTGGTCTTCATATATATATATATATATATATATATATATATATATATATATATATATATATATATATATATATATATATATATATATATATATATATATATATATATATATATATATATATATATATATATATATATATATATATATATATATATATATATATATATATATATATATATATATATATATATATATATATATATATATATATATATATATATATATATATATATATATATATATATATATATATATATATATATATATATATATATATATATATATATATATATATATATATATATATATATATATATATATATATATATATATATATATATATATATATATATATATATATATATATATATATATATATATATATATATATATATATATATATATATATATATATATATATATATATATATATATATATATATATATATATATATATATATATATATATCCAGTGCTCAATACAAAAGTAGAGCAAATATATATTATATTAAAATAATAATAAAATTAAATTTGTAACATAACTCAGAGTTTCACGCTATATGCGATCATCAGGCGTTACAAACCATAACAACAACAAAAATTATATACAAAAATACAATACAGTGTTTGCTTAGATGACGTTAAAGTTGCAGATAACAAATTTGTTTTCATGGCGACATTTCGATATTAATTCATTTCACTTATTTAATATTTTCAAAGATGATGTAATGATATGGTATTTTTCCGTTAAACAAAGGTTACATAACTTTCTTCCGGGTTTAAAAGGTTCTGCCCTATCAATAATTTTCCATGTAAGAATAGGATTTGAAAATCTCTTTTTTTTTATTTCCCAGATATATTTAGAAAGTTCTGTGGCGTTAGCTTTACTTTCGTATTGAAAGAAATTCTTATGCTTTTACCAGCGATCTTTAAAGGTGTGCTCTGTTAAACCAATATAATTTAAACCACTATCCTGTGGTGATGTTTTTACATTTTTACGTGGAAATTATTGATAGGGTAGAACCTTTTCAACCTGGAAGAATGTTATGTAACCTTTGTCTAACGGAAAAATACCATATCATTACATCATCTTTGAAACTATTAAATAAGCGAAATGAATTAATATCAAAATGTCGCCATGAAAACAAATTTGTTATCTGCAACTTTAATGTCATCTAAGCAAACACTGTATTGTATTTTTGTATATAATTTTTGTTGTTGTTATGGTTTGTAACGCCTGATGATCGCATATAGCGTGAAACTCTGAGTTACTTTACAAATTTAATTTTATTATTATTTTAATATATATATATATATATATATATATATATATATATATATATATATATATATATATATATATATATTTATATCAATACAATATTTCATTCATTCATATTTATATCAATACAATATTTCATTCATTTGCTAAGTATGCACAAATTAATGATAAGTAAAGGCTGTTTTTCACAAGACAAAAAAAAAGCGAATTTTTTTGCCATAACACAACGCTGTTTTAATTTCCACGTATTATTTTTCTCCTGCTATATTTTCGACATAAAATGGCAACTAAAAGTTTACGCTGTTTGTTTTAGGAAAAAACAATATATATATATATATATATATATATATATATATATATATATATATATATATATATATATATATATATATATATATATATATATATATACACATGCACATACTCACTCACACACACACACACACACACACAGATTTATTGTATTTTTTTAGAATGTTTAAGAAAATAAATGCTAGCTTTTGGAACTGACAAGTCTTTATATGATGAATTTACCAAAGCTTGTTTTCAGGATGAATTCTAAGTAAATGTTAACACCAAATTGAACATTTTGTTTATTGCTTTTGTTGATTATTGCTGTTGCCATAAAAAAACGCTTTTTTTTTTTGTTGATTTCAGATGATATACTATTTATTTACAATTGGTTTTCGCTCTTAACAACTGACTTTTTTTTGCTGCAGCAAATTGATTGATCAGAAGAAATGTTTTATCTGCACATGCTTATTAGCGAAATAATTCGTTACGCAGAAATATTTCATCTTGTAGAAAACGGTCTTGATAATATGCAATAACTTAATGATTGTAAATGGTAATATTTATACAAAATAGTAATTTAGTTAAAAAAAAACATATAAACATGAGGATATTAAAATATTTTTTATTAAAATAAAATATTAAAATAAAAAAATTTATTAAAATAAAAAGATTTCCTCAATTTATTGACATTTCTTTTAAACCCTTAAAAATATTAATATCATATTAAGTATTAAATATATTAAGTTATTATTAAATACTTAATATGATATTATAACATTATATTTATAATAGTAAAAATATCATATTATTACTATAATAATAAATCAAACTATAGTAAACAAAATAATTCTATATATTCTATTATATTATATATATTTTAGCAAAACTTAAAAATTATTTTTAAAACTTGTACAAGTGTTTTTAGTATGCAAACAAACATTACTTTGCTTAAACGATAAGAAAATTTTAACGCTTTTAAAATAAGGCAGTGTTTTAGTATGGTTTCTTTCAAAGTAATAGCGAATGCATTTATTTTAAGTAATATTTTTGCAGCTTTTATTAACACTTGTAAGAACCATGCTTAAACAAAATTACTATCTTCAATAGCGTTTAACGCTATTAATGAAAGTAATCTTGTTTTAACTTGGTTTCTTTTAAAGTTGTTGAAAACATGATTTAAATTATTTATTAAAAAAAATTGCTGAAGTAATGTATTCATTTTTTAAAATTTTGAGTTAATGCCAACGTTTTCTTAAGTAATAGTAAAGAAACATGCCGTTCATTTTTCTGTCTTTTTTAACAAACATTTGCACGTTCACCGATTTGTTCCGCCATGATCATAATGTATTTTTGTTTAAAAGACGTATTTAATAATGTGAAATTGTCAAAACAAAATAAAAATAAAAATTTACTTTTGTGCTGTCTGTTGAAGAATCTAAACTTGGCCAAATAAGACAATCAACAGATTCTTGAGTCTAAAAATAATAATTAATTTTACATTTTGAAAAGTATGAGTTGAAAACTGTGTAAACTAATATAACAAAAATTACTAATGAAAATTGTATATGGTATTTAAAATTATATTTCTTTATAATTTATTAAAAAAATCTTTTACTGACCTTTCGTTTTTTTGTCACAATTTTTTTTTATTTTTTTTTTACGTATTTAATGAACTATTTTTTAAAAAGATTATAAACCATTTATAGATAGATTTTATCGGAAGCCAATAATTTATTTGTAAACATAATTTGTCTATTTTTACATATTTAATGAACTATTTTTAATAGAAATTATGAACAATTTGTAGATAAATTTAACCAGTTACCAAAAAGATACAAATTAGACATAATTTATGTTGATAAATTACATCATTTGAACTTTATATGATACTGAATTTAATATGAAACAAAAACTTTTAAACTCATTTGAACTTTATATGATATTGAATTTAATATGAAACAAAAACTTTTAAACTCATTTGTGAAAACACTTCTCTTAAACAAAAACACTCCATCCCTTTATTAAAAGAAAAAAAGCTTTTTATTTGTTTTCACATATTATAATCTATGATAAAGATTATAATATGTGAAATATATATTACATTTACTTATATTTTACATAATGAACTAGTTAGCAGATGATAAGAAAAAAAATTCTTTAATAAAATTGCAAAACTATTTTATATTTAAACTTTTACATTTTGCGTTTTACTAACTACTTTATATTCCTTCAAAACAAAATTTAAATATTTAACTTTTAGTATCATATAGAGTAAAACAGGGTAAAATGAAAATAGCGAGTAGAATAAAATAGTTATGACAATGATTCTTTTGCTCTTCATCAGTTATTGGATAATCTTCTAGCATATATTTTTAAATCACATTTTAAAGAATACTTTTTTGAGTATCAGATGATATAAAATTTGTGAACAACAAATTTCCAACTATAAATTTTTTGTATTGAAAAAATTTTTTCAATAAAATTTTTCTGAATTTAAATGAATGGCTTTAACTGATTGCTTTTATTAAATGATTCTAATGAATGAAATACGCTAGTTACTTTTACATTGTGATTGCTGTTATATATTTTTAAAAGGTTCTTGTTAAATGCAGTATAAATGCTTTTTGTTTTTTTAATAAAGTGATGTTTTAATTTATTAAATGAATGAATAAAATTTTTCTGAATTTAAATGAATGGCTTTAACTGATTGCTTTTATTAAATGATTCTAATGAATGAAATACGCTAGTTACTTTTACATTGTGATTGCTGTTATATATTTTTAAAAGGTTCTTGTTAAATGCAGTATAAATGCTTTTTGTTTTTTTAATAAAGTGATGTTTTAATTTATTAAATGAATGAATAAAACACGCAAGTTACTCTCTTGTTAAATGCAATTTAAATGATTTTTGTTTTTTTAATAAAGTGTTGTTTTAATTACATATATACTTGCATATTTCATTCTTTAAATGTCAGTGTAGAATGGAATTTTTTTTTTTTTTAATCAAATACAGTTTCATAAAAAACTTTCAAAAAAAAATTTTTTTTTTTGATATATTTAAATACAGCTCAATATTCTCTACAACTTTAAAAATTTAAAATCTTTTTTCCGTAAAAAAAGAAATAAATAAAATCTTTAAATATTCCTTTTGATCCCATTTTACTCTATAACTCAAAGTCATTGAACTAAAAAAAATAAATAATCAGTTTTTTTAAAAGGATCCCAAACCTCTGAGACATGTTGTGTTCATATTAAAGAGAATTTTAATAAAAAAATGTTGAAGCTAAATTTTTTTGATTAGAACAAAAGAATAAATGCATACCAAGCAAAAACTAACATTTTTACTTAAGTCAAAGCTTGTCTTCTCCGTTTTGTTGTAGGCCAAAAAGTCAGCATAATATATACCACAATCTACAGACTTAATAATTTATTCAACTGTGTTTTATTCTTAAGAGTTTCAGTAAAAACAGTACAAATTAAAAAGTCAATGATGTCATGTAGATTGTGGCGTATATTATGCCTACTTTTTGGCCTACAACAAAACGGAGAAGGCAATTTTGAATTAAAATAAAAAAGTTAGTTTTTCTTAGTTGCATTTATTCTTTTGTTTTAATCAAAAAATTTAGCCAAAAACCTTATTTTTTTATTATTCTCTTTAATATGAACACAACATGTCTAGGAGGTTTGGGATCCTTTAACAAAAAAATTTTTTTTTTTTTACGACTTGATATTTTCTGTACAAATGCCAAATAAACCATATTAAAAGATAATTCAAAATACTCCAAAATAAAAAAAATTTTGCTTAACGTAAAATTGCCCTAACGAGTACATAAACTGGCATTTCGTACGTAAATTACAAGCTGCAAAACGCTTCTTAACAAGGCCTGCAGGAGTGCAAATGTAATTATAATGATTTTGATACACGTTTAAAGTTATATATTAGTTATCATTGTAATATTTTTATAAAGAAAATACTAATTGAAGGTGTCATGTTTTTGTTTATGCAAATAATTTTCAGTATAAATTCAGTAATGTTTTAACAAAAAAAAAGTATTAACTGAAGGTGTCATATTTTTGATTATGTAAATAATTTTCAGTATAACCATGCTAAAAGAATAATTTCTTTTGGTTCTAATTACGCTACAGATAAAATATGATGGTTATTATTTCTGAAACCACTTGAATAGTGCAATTAACAGATGATCAGTTGGGCCAAACAGAGATGTTGAGCAGCCGCCGCGCAGTGGTTAGAGTTTTGGCTCAGAACCCAGAGGGCCAAGGTTCGACACCAGCTCCGACCCAACAAGCGACATTGGTACAGGAGGCATGAACTTCCTGTTAAATGCTCTCCTGTGGTGCTCTGTGATAAGATCGACTACTGGGAGCACCTAAATAAATAACAAAAAAAAAAAAAGTGAAAACATTTAAAGGAAAAACTTCTATGACATGATGACAGCATGCAATCCAAACTGCTTAAGTTCTCAGAGCTTTTTTCAATGCTAACACATGCACCCTTATGAAGTTCTGTAACTGTCATCTCTCAATCATCTTTATTGTGTAGTTATGCCACCGAGCCTTTTGTCAGTTATTATTAAAACATGTCCTATTTCATCCTTTTGCTTTCTTGTTTTCGTTTTCTGTGTACCTTTAGAGTTACATGTTTCTGATGTAGTTTTGACAGTTTTCTGACAAAAAAAGCTAACCCAGTGTGTTGGTACTCTTGTTTGCATACAAATACAAATTATTGCATTACAAGACCTTTTAAAATTTTGCTGAAGGGTTCATCTTTCAGTTAAATGATAAAACTGGACCAGTTAAAGTACATCCAGCATACACATAAATCTTGGTGTAGATAACAGAAATGAAGAAATTAACATCCCAATTAGCCAGTGCTGTGTCTCAGACCTCAAACTGAATAAGGCCATTTTAAACTTTAATTTTTAGTTTATTATTTGAAGATCTTATGCGTATAAGTCAGACAAAAATTGCAATGGCATACATCAGACAAGCAATAATGACAATGGGTTGACATATAAATATTGCCTAATCAGCCTAAACTTTTGTCCTTAAAGTCATTAATTGTATGTGTATATATATATATATATATATATATATATATATATATATATATATATATATATATATATATATATATATATATATATATATATATATATATATATATATATATATATATATACATATATATATATATATATATATATATATATATATATATATATATATATATATATATATATATATATATATATATATATATAAATATATAAATATATATATATATATACATATATATATATATATATATATACATATATATATATATACATATATATATATATATATATATATACATATATATATATATATATACATATATATATATATATATATATACATATATATATATATATATATATATATATATATATATATATATATATATATATATATATATATATATATATATATATATATATATATATATATATATATATATATATATATATATATTGGCCAGGAAGGCGTGCAATTTCAAGTCTTTATATGACCACACAAACAATATTTTGTTTTGATGATTTAACCACAGTCTTTAAAAAAAGCGCTAAAAAAACTGGTTTTTAATTATGTTGAAAATAAATAACTTTGACACATTTATCTTAACTAATGTTTTTATATTAGCAAAATACTTTTAAACAAACTAGCCAATGATTTCAATTAAAGTATCATTGAAAGTTGTATAATAAGATTTTTTTTATAAAAAAAAATAAAAAAAGTAAGAGTTTAAAAAAAATAAAAAATTAAATTTTATAAGCGACAACTTAAAACAGAAAATATAGAACCATTAAAGTTTTTGTTTATAAGAAGAAAAAAAAGGCAAACTTTTTTGAAAGCTATTAAAATTAAATAACTTTTATCTTTAAGTATTTTTTTTAATTATTGAAACACTTTTAAATAAAGTAAAGAAGCACTCCTAATGATTCTTTATGAAAACATTAATGAACAATATATTTTTTTTTTATATTTATATAAGTATTTATTATATTATAATTGTATAAGTATTTATATTATTATAATATATATAAGTATATATATTATTATAAATGTTTTAAAATAAAATAAAAATATACTAATATTTTAAATAAACGATTTAATTATTTTTTTTTTTAGTACGAAGAATTGTTAAGAATTTAAAAAAAAAAGACTGTTAAGTGTGAAGAAATGTGCGCGTTTATTAAACAATCGTCAGTTGTAAGTTGTTACTTTATTTAAAAAGCGTTTTGCATAATATTATATAATAAAAACAGTAAAGTTAATTAATTCAAAGTTATTTATTTCAAACGTAATTTAGATAATCTTATCGTTATAGTTTATTATTTATTTTGGTTCAGTCTTAATTTTATTTCATTTTAGTTAAGTTATTTTTTATTTTGTTTTTCATTATTTTTTTTTACCAAGATTTATTTGTTCCTTTTACCATAAGTTTTTTTTTTAAGTTGGAGAATTTTTTAGCACATTTTTAAATCGCATAGAAATTTTTAAAACATATTAACAGCCATCGCCAAGTTAAATCGTATTTGCGTGATCATATGACGTGAAATCGCACGCCTTCCAGGCCAAGTCTGTATATATATACAGGCCTTAGCGGGAATAAATGAGCATGAGAGCTGAGAAAAGCTCTCCTAAAACGAAGCTGCTCCTTATATAAATCAGTGCTCTTTTTTAATTTAATTTTTTTTTTTGCAACAACCATGCTTTTTAAAAAGCATTGCAGTATATTATGCAATTATTTTTTTTAATGACATTGTTTTTTATTTTAGTTACAACAATAATTATACTTTCGTAAGAAAAATGATACTTTTGCAAGAGCCATAAATTGCTTCCGTAAACTGTTTTAGGGGAGTGTGGGCGAGAGAAGGCAGAAATTAGGTGCCAAAATTTATTTACATAATGCACTCATAAATATTGATGTTATTGATTTAATTTGTCATTTTGAAAACTTGTTTAACAAGAATATCTTCCTTGAAATAATATAGTTAGGGATGTCAGGAAGAATCTGCTTATTAAAAATAAGAAATGAAATTTATTCTTGAAAATAGCATTGCTCAGTATTTTGCAAACAATTCAGTCTTATCCTTGGAAAAAACCATAAGACTTTTACCTATAAAATAAAATGAACCGATAAAAACTTTGATATCTGCCTGATTCCAAGATATTATAAAAAAGACTTTAGTAGGAAGAAATAGAAGACTACAACTTAGATACTATCACACAAAGGATTGTGGAAAGAATCCAGGTAAATATATCAAAGTCTTAGCCTGGAGTCAAGCCTTCCCGGGAAGTGCATGTGGTCACACGCCTTGTACACCCACATTTGAAGTAATTAGATAACTTGACCACATTTTTATACAGAAAGCGTTTTAAGAATTCGCGGCGAAATAAAGCTATAAGAAACTAGATAATAAATCAGCAATATTTGAAAAAAAGAACTAAAGACTATACGAAATAGAAAATCTAAATAAAATAAGCAAAAGAAATTTATTAATGAAAAAAGAAAATTTTTGTCTAAAAAATAATATACCTAGATATTAACTTTTTTTGTTTTCTTATTTTTAGAGCGTTTGTTATTTTCCACTAGCAAAATTTATACAAGTCAAGGAAAAAAAGTAGATAAGAACATAATGAAAAAAAAAATGTTTTTTGATATACAACTTTTTCGCAACTTTTTTAAAGGAAATACTTTATAAATTGTACTAGAAACATGGACAATTTTTTAAATTGTTTTTCAGATGTCTTTGCTAAACTTTACTGTTTTTATCAATGCACAGGAAAGCGAGAAAACTAATTGCTATTTATTTGTGAAAAAAAAAATTTTTTTAACAAGTTCTTTAGGTAGAAAAATGAAACGATGAATTTTGTGGACTAGTGCAATGATAACTAAACTTTCTTAACCAAACTTTTAATAACTAAATTTTTTTAACCAAACTAAACTTTCTTAACCAAACTTACTAAACTTTCTTAACCAAACGTTTAATAGCTTGTTCAAAACTTTTGTTTAAGTTTTTAAAAATATTTTTTTAAACAGAGCAATCGTTATTTTTAGATAGAGCAATCATTATCTTTAGTAATTCATATTAACATTGGAAATTGGGGAAATAATTTTATAAATGCATCAAATGCGGTTAATACATTTATTAAAGAAACTCTGCTATTCTTTCAACTTATTCTGCCTTTAACAAAGTTTATTAATCAAATAATATTTTTTACAAATAAATAACAATTTTTTTTAAAATGCAAAAAGACGTAAAAACGAATGTAAAAAAAAAAATTAACAAAACTTCTTATAGCTCTAACATACATTAAAATTGTGAACAAATTGCATATCAAAACTTTCAATTGTTGTTAAATCTTTATCAAAGATGTTTTTTCAACAACGACTCAAAAAAAAGTAGTACAAAATATGTATAAAAATTTTACAAAAAAAATTTTTTTTTTCAATTTACTTTATTGTATTATTATATTTTCTAGTTTATTTAATCAAACTTGATATTTCGTTACAATTTTGTTTTCTTATTTAAAAATTGTTTTTTTTCTTTTTCTTAGTAAGGTTAGTTTTTTGCCACAAATTATTTAAACCCCTATTAAGTAAAAAGATGCAAACCACATTTAAAGTAACTTTTTTAAGTTAATTGACCATGTCAGTTAGCTTAAAAAAATTACATTAAATGTGGACAAATAAGGCGTGCAACCTACGCACTATTCGGGAAGGCTTGTGGATTTTTGTTTCTATTTTAATTTTAGGCAAATACTAGTACTCTACTTTTTTTTTTATATATACTAGTGTAAATTTCAGTCGCAAGTTGCATCTCTTTATTGTGCTTGCCACTTTCTTACTCAGGATTCTTTTTTTTATCTCTATAAATTTCAAATCTGACCTTGTATGGAATACTGTTGCCATATCTGGTGCAAATTTTCTAATGCTACCCATTCTCTTTTAGACAAGGCAAAAAAATGTATTGTAAACAATTATCACATAGTTGTAATGTTGCTTCTCTTTTCTATAAATACTATAATGGCCACTGCTCTTAGGAACTAGCATCTTGTTCCATCTACTAAAATTGATTCTCCTGTTACTTGTCATTCAAATAAATCTTAACATTTTACTGTGACTGTTACTAAGTGCTCCAAAAATTCTTATTTGTCTATTTTTTTTTTTCTTTGAACATCAATCCTTTGGAATTTGCTTCCTTTCTCTTGTTTTCCTGATTCAAATAACTTGCAATCAATCAAAGTCGTTTTTTCTCTTCCAGTAACTTCCAACTCTAAATGTGGTTGTTTGCAGCCTTGTTGGCAGAGATGTTGAAGAATTTTATTAGAACATAAATAATAAATCAAAAAAGTTACAAAAAAAAAACTTTGATCTGGTTAGACCTTTGCAATTAACTTTATTTTACTTTCAATTAAATATAAATTAAACTAAAGATAAGATTTAACCAAAAATTGTTAACAATGATTGGATGTCATAATATATAATATTATGACTTCATATTATTTACATATTATTTACTAGCTGTTTTTTAAAATTTTCCTTAATTGACCCAGAAATGTGTAGATAACATTCTAATATTCTTAATAAAACTTGACCTTGGTTTTTAAAATAAAAATTGTCTTTAGAATTCTAGAGTAGTTACTTTTATCTGAAATTTTCTGAATAAGGTTTTTTTTTTTTTTTTTAATTTACTTAAACATATAACATTATTTCATAAAAAGCACTGCATTAGAAGCACTTTTAAAAGAAACAAATATTTAAAATTTAAATCAATTTGATAAATTTTTAGATTGTTTCATTCAATTAGAAGTTTTCATTCAATTAAAAAATTATATGATTTAAATGTAGTTGTTATTTTTTGTTGTTGTTGATGTTGTTTTTGTTGATGTTGTTGTTGTAGATGTTGTTATTATATATCTACAATTAGCAGCCTAAATAATTTTAATTGCATACTTTGTAGAAACCTGTTAAAATATTTATTGTTATTATTATAATAATAATAATAATAATTATTAATATTATTATTATTATTGATTTTTTATCATAACTATTATTATAATAAATACATAAGTTGCCCTAACAAATATTTACTATTGGAATTTATTACTATTAATTTATGGAAAGCTGTTTCTAAATTATACACTATTTCTTTGAAAATAAAAATAACTTTACTATAAACTGCTTAAATGTTGTATTTATATTATAATATATATTACACTTTCAAAAAAATTAAATTGTTTTTTTGTAAAATATAATTGACACAAACTATTAAATTAGTTCTTTTAACTTCTTTAAAAAGTACCTTTGTATTTGGTTCTTCTAGACTCAATACTTCAATTTGTTTTATATAATTTCCAACACCAACTGTAAAAAAAGATTTTTAATAGTTTATGTTTAAAAAAAAGAATTTATTTTATATCGACCACAAAAATTTGCTGATTAACTAACTTTCTACAACAAACCTTTCTTCTAACTATTTACATATAAAAATCAATTTTGTCCCATGTGACATAAAAAGGATGCATAGAACATTTTATAGACTGCTTAAATCAAATCCAGCATAGAGAAAGGAGAAAGCATACCATGGTCAGCTCCAGCCTTTTTCCATACATTTTTAGTGGACGGTGTGTTCTTATCATGCACAATTTCTTTGCCAGTTTTATCACCTGGGTCAATAAAACCCGATTTTTTATTACTTTCTTTAACAGAATGTTTTGTATTTGAATCTTTTTTGCTTTCAGCTTTTATCTCAACCATATTGAAGCGAGATAATATTCTCGTACTCAATAAACCTTAGCTTCGAGCTTTGTGTAATATTTATAAATAAACCTTCTACAACGCAAATCTAGTTTTTCTGAGTTACCATAAACAAAACTGAATAAGTCTAAGTATTTAAAACGCTAAACAAAATGCGGAAAAAAATCCAGTCTTTTAATTCCTGGCAAAAAGGTAGCTTCATCCCTAAAAACTGTGAATTTTGCGAGCATGGCTCTTCATTTTTGTAACAAATATTAAATCAATATAATACGTTGTTTCGTCCCTGCGCCATGTGATAGGTCTTTCACAAATATTTAATTTATGCAAAGATGGTGTTTAAGATGCATAATTAAATTTATACGTGTGGCTTTTAAACGTGTTAAACGCTAATTTCAACGACAACGACCATCAAAGTAGTAACAGTTTGTTGTACATTATATAAATGTGCATACATATTATACATACACAAATAGGTACATTAATACATAAATATATACATACATACAATGTGTATTATACATTGTAACTCTATAAAAAAATTTTCCACGTTGACAATAAGCATTGTTTTCTAAACTTGCGTGTATTTTTTTTGTTTACTCTAAATCTAGTAAAGTAAAACTCTAATCTACTATAAATAGCTAAAATGCATCTAACGGTTAAATTACAAAAAATCTGTTGATTTTGTACACAATTTTATTATTTCATTGAGAGGCGATTTTAGAAATAAAATAGAGGGGTTGAATCCTTATTAAATGCCGACTTCTAAACAAAAAAATATGAAAAGTGTCAATGCCGAATAAATTGCCGACTATATTCCTGGAAAAACCGACTTTAATCGAATATGACCTTTTTGGGTGGATCGGGGGGGGAGCACACACCTTGAAACCGATCCTGAATTCATTAAGGGAAAACAATTTTTTTTTTTTTATTATTATTAAACTTATTTTAAAATATTAATTTTAAATTAAAAAAAAATAATTAAAAAATAAGTTGAAAAATCATATAATTAAAAACATAATATTAGTAAAATGATAAACTAATAAAAATATCAATTTAGGTAAGATTTAGAACAAAATTGTAAATCTTCTTTCCAAATTTATTGGTATTGTATCAAACAATATTGTATTAAATATTTTAAAATAAAATTTAAAAACAGTTATATAAGTATAAAAGGTAATTATTGCAGCTACAATTGGTAATGTTTTTAAAATATAAATTTAGAAATAAAGCCATTTTAAAATACTCTTCAAAATAATTCAAAAAAGAATCTAAACTGATTTTATTACGAAAAGAAGTCGATCATAAATATATCTTTGAAATATGTACAAAATTAACAAATCGGAAAAATTCATTTTTTCACTTATTTTTGTTTTGATTTTATTTATTTTGTGATCAAATAAAAATATTAAACTTCATATCTTATTTATTAAAGATTTGTAATATCTGTACTTAATATTATTGTATTTTTATCCTTTTATTTTTGCAATATAAACTGACGGCGACAATATGGACAGGATTCGGTAATAAGACTCTTTTTTATCTTCTTTTTGTTTCGGCCATTTTGCCTGCACGTAAAAATTTTTGTAAAACTTTAAAAGCAGCTTACAACTTAAAAAAATAAATTGTAGAAGACTTTCGACAAAACTTTAATACGACTTTCAACACTTCCACAGTTATTAACAACAATTACGAACAACAAGATGACATAGACAAAGCCGTGGAGTGGTCCAGAATTCGGCGCATGCCTTTCAACGTGGCAAAATGCAAAGTCATGCACATAGGCTGTGGAACCAAGATCAACACAACCATGTTCAATGTGCAGCGATGACGGATCACGAATAGACGTGAGAGCAGTGGTAGCGCAGCCGTGGCGCAGTGCTAGTGCACTTGCTTCAGAAACAAAGGATCCGTGGTTCAAACCCCACCTCTGGGCAAGTTAAGCGACATCGGGTAGGAAGGAGGCGTGAACTTCCAATTAAATGCTCATCCGCGGTGCTCTGTGATGTGACCGTAAGGACTTCTTGGGGCACCTAAATTAAACACCTAAAAAAAAAAAAAAAAAACTTGCAGTTACCAAAAACGAAAGAGACCTCAGTGTCTTGGTCTCAGATGACTTAAAACTAAAAAATCAAGTTGAGACAGCAGCCTCAACGGCTAATCAAATACTTGGTAGGCTGAAAAAAGCATTCCGCAGTCGAGGTATCGTTGTCTGGAGAACATTGTATATAGCTTATATTCGCCCACATCTCGAGTTGGCGATAAATGCGTTTTGTCGCTTCTAAAACGCGACATTGAAACACTAGAAAAAGTGCAGAAGCGTGCGGCAAAAACAGTTGCACTATTAAAGCACTTACCATATGCTCAAAGATTGCAAATATTATAGGGTTATGCAAAATTATAAATTGTTTTATGCAAAATTATAAATTGTTTTAAGCAAAATTATAAAGTGCTTTATTTAACAATAAATGCCATTATAATAGTACAGGTTATTTTCAGAATCATCTAAGAAAGCTGTATAGGAATTAAAATACAATATTAAATTGTAATTAAAAATTAAACGACTAACTGGCTGAAAAACATAAACCAAATCAGTAACGTTTTTATTTAATTAATGCAAGTTTTTTAAATTAATGTTAAAAAAAAAATTTAAAACCTTACATGGCAAGAAAAAATTGAAAAGCGAAAACTAAGGAAGTTCATGAAACAATTATAAACATGTCTAATTCGATAAATAATCATTCAACCAAATACATTGCCGAAACTTTAAACATTAGCCAAAGTGCTGTAAGAAACTGCATAAGAAATCATCAAGAAGGCATTAACTTTGCTACTAAGGGAGAACGCCACAAGCAAACAATCAAAAACAAAAATTTGTTGTTCAGTGAAATCGAAAATACTTTATTTAATACGATAGCAATAAATAATGAATTGACACAAAATGAAAAGGTAAATGAAGTTAATGCAGCAACCGGTAAGGTAATATCTTAATCAACAGTATCAAGGAAATTGCGGAAAATAAATATAACGCGAAAAAGGCTTTCATTGGTTCCCGAAGAACGAAACTTCCCAGCAAATATTGAAAAAAGAGCCATATATGCGCCCCGTATCTCGCGTATTTCTAGTGATAAATTGGTCTTTTTAGACGAATCAGGATTTAATCAGCATTTAAGAAAACGATATGGGTATTCCCCCCCCCCACCCACCCAAAAAAAAAAAAAGGCATATTTCGTTCTTTCTGGAAACAGAAATACAAATCGAAGTTTGATGTGTGCAATAAATATTTCTGGTGTGGTTGCTTATGAATTAAGAACTGGAGCTTATGAAAGATTTATAAGAAATAACCTGTGTAATTATTTCCGACAAAACCCAGACCATATACTGATAACGGATAATGTTCCATTTCACAGATCAAGAAATATTATAGAAGTTTTAAATGAATTAAGAATAAATAGAGGATATTTACCGGCATGGTCTCCTCAATTAAATTCCATTGAGGAATTTTTGAGCATGATAAAGGCAAGATATCGCGGAATAAAAGCTTTAAATAATGAAAATAATATTGGAGATGCATTGGAAATAATTTTTAATCAAATGCGTAAAATTAACAAAGAATTAAGTGGATTTTGGAGATTAATGGAACGATGGTTGGAAATAGCTAAACAAAATATGATTTTTGTATAAAGTGGTCATTTGAAACATTGACGAGATCTTTTTTTATGTGCGACAGACGCAACACTTAGCTAGACTGAATTACAATCTTCGAAGTCCCAGTCAGTGTCTTGATAAATAAATAGTAAATCATTGTATTGAAAGAGAACATTTTTTTACAAATCAAATTGTACGTCACTGGAACGCTCTCCCGCAAAAGACTATTGATGCGCAAAGTGTCAACTGCTTTAAAAACTTTTTTTATCTAACTATAGCTGCTTTGTATGCAGCACAAGACTGTCAGAACAGAGGAGCCTGGTGCTGCCCCTCTTCATCGATCATATTTTTTTTTTTTTTGGCTTTAATTTTATGTTGTAATTTTACGATGGATTACTGAATAAACTAAACCAAACTAAAACTAAATCTTCATATACCACAACTCATAAATGAAATCATGTGACTTAGACGATATCGATCTCCGACATCGTCTAAGTCACATGATTTCTGTGGAATTACCGCAGAGTATCTTAAATACTCTTTTAACGATAACCTCCTAATATGGCTTTCAAAATTTTGTAATATCTTTATTAATAGATTGGTCCGAGAGTACTTATCAACTTTATTCCAATGTTTAAATCTTATAAAAATCTCTTGATAATCCAGATAACTATCACGGAATTAGTTTCATACCTATTTTTACAAAACTCTTCGAATATATTATTATGCAAGTATGTCCAGAAATATTAGATAACCACTCTCATTAATTTAGTTTCAAGCAAAATAGGTTAATACCTCCTGCGGAATTACTTTTTAGTGAAACAATAAAACAACTTTTTAGTTAAACAATAATAATAACTTATCAGTAAGTATACATCTGTAGTTTAGATGCAAATAAAACCTTTGATAGTTGTAACTGGGACTTTAGTTGTAACTGGGACTATTACAACAAAAACGTACCGCCATCAGAAGTTCGTGCACTGCAATCATTATAACGCTCAGGTACTGCTAATATATTATAACTTAAACATAAATCAAACCATTTTTGTTTATCTTTAGGCGTGCGACAAAAATAAATTTTATTGTCACATTTGTACAACATCTAAACTAAAAGTATATTAAGTCAAATTGTTTGCAAAGTTTTAACAACAGTGAGTCGCAACAGTGAGTGGCAAAGTTTTAACAAAAGTGAGTGGCATATACACTATACTGCTTATGCAGACAGTATAATCCCATAAAGTCCTAATTTTTCTGCAACACACGAATTAGTTTGAAAAGTTTAAACATTAATCAAAAACCTCTACCGGCTCTAGTTAAGCTTTTGATAGAGGGTTTTGAAAATTGTTATCAAACGATAAATCACCAAAAACGATACTAAACATTACTTGTAATGTGCTACGAGGTTCTATACTCGGACCTTAAAAAACTAACTGGACTCTATTTCACCCACTTTCCAAAAAAAACTAATACTATAAGAAACGCCATTTATATTCATTGATAATATTCAACTAAAAAGAGTATAAACTACACAGTTTTTGAATATCGTCCGCGCATCAAACATTCGAGTATATTCGATATAATATTCGAGTATATTCGAGTTTAATATTCGAGTATACGTGGATCACAACTTTTAAAACACTAAAGGATTAGTCCTTAAGTGTTTTAAAAGTT